TTATTGGTTTGGAGGATTCCCCTACTAAAATAGACTACAGAAAAAAAAGGGTAGCCTTATTCTAACCTCTCTACTGGAGAACCTAGGTACCCTTGGTTGAGAAGTCCCCTGTGTTGCCCTACCCGAGATCCGCATGCGACTTCATGCTCTCGAGTAGCTCGCAGACCCTTTCGGATACATGTCAGACCCCAGTGCTTGCAGTTATCGTTGGCAACATGCTTGTTAATGGGGTCTGGCTCTGAACTACCCCTGCGCTTACCTCCCTTATGATGGTTTCCACAGGACCAGACCACCGGTTGCATTTTCCTTGGTTCTCCTTGTCCATTTCCCTTGTGGGAGTTCGGAGCTCCGCGATTGGACGATGGGCTAGGCACTTGTTAATGAGGACTACCGTCACTGGTCAGTTCAGTGACACTTTTTTGTTTTGTTTTCTGTATCGTGGGTTTATTGCGGTCCCCAGACAGATTTGGGTTCAATCCCCTTTTTAAACCAGGGTCACTGGGCAACCTTCTGACGTCCACCAGCTGCGGTCTTTGGGTGTGTGTTTTAGAGACCCCGGGTTTCCTTGTGGTTTCCCCTTCAAACCTTGGCGGCTCCCAGCCATCCCTTAGCTTTTTTTTAGCTCCTTAGTGTGTAGGGGTCGTTTCCTCCATTTAACCCACTAAAAGTTAAGCTCTTTTTGCCGGGGATCAGACAACGGGCCGCCCGGAGAGAAAAACAAATCGGGCGCCAGCTCTAAAACAGACACAGAACGTTCGGCTCAAAAATTCTCCCCGAGTCCCAGGAGAGCAGACGCTCTGGGAGGACTTGGGCTGCCTGGTGCCTTTCCTGGACCTCACCTTGTCGATGCCTGGCTTGGAGCGTGTGGATGGCGGTTTCGCCGGTGGGGCGCCGGGCGAAAGCGTTGGGTTTTGAAGCCCCCAAACGGAGTTCGAAGCTGGCCTTGGTTCAAAGGCATGGGAATTGTGCCATTTGCGTTGGTCTCCCTGGTTTCCGGAAGGCGTAGCCTTTGGTCAATCTGGTTGGCACCCCACGAGCCCAAAGCAGCGTCGGGGACAAAAGGGGGGGGGAGCCCAGTCGCTGTGTGCGGGGGTGACGGCAGCAGGAAGGAAACCGCTCATTTTGAGAGGATTCGTTGGAGACCGACCCAGAAAATGGGACCCAAAGCGAACCCAAAGCCTATGAGGGGTCCAAATTCGGAAGCTCATGGCCGTTTATCAAGATGTGGATTCCTACTTCCAGTTGGCTTAGGGCAGTGGTATCTTACAACCAGCGCGTGTTAGAAGTTATACCAAGTTGTGCTATCTACTTGTGTGAATTGCAACAGGAGGACAAACTTGCGCAACGCTTGGGGTTTCGTCCTCTTTCAACAAAGGGCAATGCTTTGCCCCACTAGCTGACCCTTTTTTCCAGCTTCTTTGCGTATCTGACTCGTTTCGGGCGGGGGCAACCCGGACTCAGGTGAGCCACATGCTCAAAACCCGGGTAGATGAAGGTCAGTAAGGGCCAGTCCCAGCCAGAAATAGTTGCGGCCGCCTTCTTAGTTCTTTACATGGTTCTCGGCAGACCATTATAATAACGGGTTTTGATTGTGACTCAGGTGCACACTTCTCGATTTTGCAACTGTTTGGGCTTGCTGCTTCTCAGCAGGGATTAAGAAGCAGAATGACCCCCTTTTCATTCATCCCCTATAGTTTCCTCCATTCGGAATCCCCAAACGGTTCATTCCCAACTGGGCCATTCCCTATCGCACCGATCGCAAGTTAAAAACATAGATACATAGATGGATAACTGGCTGGTGATAGTTGAGCCCTCCCCGTTTTGGATTCCCTTACCTCGATTGCCTTTCAGGAAATCCCCAAACCGGTTCGTTCCCAAGTGCATCATTGCCTACCTAACGCACCGATCGTAGGGTAGGTTCTTGCGCCGCAGAACTGGCTGTGGCTCAAACACATGTATTGAAGAGGGCCCCTAGCGTAAATGGAACCCGTTATGAGTGGAAGCCCCCCGCAGTGTTGCCCCTGGGTAAATGGAACAAGAAAGAGGCCAACACCTGCGGCTTGCCCCAGTTCAACTTTGAGCCACACCCCAACTGGCCCAACTGGACGTCTCGAGTCCAGGGCGCCCCTGGGTCGTCCACACAGGGCTCCTTAACAGATCTCCATGTTGCAACCAGTTGAAAGATGTCGTTTTTTCAGCACCAAAATCAGGGGAAACCACCATTTACAAGGCAATGTTCAGGTGTATAATGCAAGGGTTTTTGCTTTGTGACTGTTTGAAAGGGAAAAGGGAAAAAACCACTCTTTGGAGGCTTCCCTCAAAAGAGACCAAGCCATATGGGTATGCGTCAAAAAAGGCCTTGAACAGCCTTGTAAATGTAAGGATCCCTGCAGCTTCAGGAAGCTCCGGGCGCTGGCGGCCTTGGTGCAGCGCATGGAGCGGGACGTCCAACTGCTGCGCCTCGGAGTTGGAGTTCGGAGTTCGGCGAGAGATGCGTGCGGTGAGGCGGTGGTTTTCTCTGAGAATGGGAGTCGGAACCCTGAAAGGAGTGGTTTAATTCAGGGGGGGGAACCAGCACTTTCTGGTATTTAGAGGGAAATTAAAGATTCCAGGTTTCTTAAGTGGTGCACTAGGTCCCCCAGCTAGGTGCAACCTTTCTCACCCCTTTCTTTTTTGGTTGGGAGGGTTCCCCTACTAAAATAGACTACAGAAAAAAGTTGGTGCCCTTATTCTAACCTCTCTACTGGAGGACCTTGATAGGGTCGGAACCCCGGAAGGGGTGGTTTAATACGGGGGAGAGAGATGGTTTCCTTCTGGTTTCCCAAGAGAAAGCCAAGACACCAAGAAGGGCGGCGTCTCATACTGTGGAAGGCTTGGGTTTCAGGTCGCCATGTTTGTTTCCATGCTGAACGCTGTGGGGAAGCCTTGCCCAGAGAAGGTCCAGAGCGGTTTGGAGATTTGGAGCGGCCTCGGGCTAAGAGGTGTTGTTTTGTTGGGGCTTCCCAATGTAGAGGATGCTTGGCACCTGCACAAGTAATTGTGGTAGGTGGGGGCTTGAGATAAGTGTTGAGTAGCTATGCTTGCTTATAACATGTAACCCATGCAAAAGCGGCTTGCAGCATTATCTTGGTTACCTACTCATATACAGAGATGTGTTTTGTTTCCGGCAGAGGACACCGGGTTTGTGTTTTGCGTTTTGTTTTGGAGGGTGCCCTTTTTGGGATTGTGTTATAGCAAGAGCAAAGCGATTTATGGGAGGCAAGGTCACTCCGGGATCGCTTGTTCTTTGGCTTCCCCAACCCTCTGGACCCGTTCTTTCCAGCCCCAAACCGGTGTTGTTGCCCCCTCGCCAGATCCCAAAAAGGGCTTGAAAAAGGATCCTGCCCCCCTCCCAGCAACAAGCCTGGCGTGGCGCACTGGAACCCCACAGGATGGGTTATTCCAGGGGTGGTAAGCACCCGTTTCCTCCAGTTGGGAGGTTCAAGTTTCCATTTGGGAGTTGGTCAAACTTAAGCCACCAGAAACGCCGCAGATGTGTCCTTGGCTCCGTCTACCAGGGCCACCCATTTGGGGGTGCATGCAGGACGCGCCACGCGTTTTTCCGAGGCCGCAGGAGCCGCAACGCTCTGAGAGCTATGTGGACCACAGCCACTCGATGCCGCTTGGGCGCGAAGCAGGCAGAGGTCCACGGACCTTCCACGAACATGGGGCCACGGAGGGCGGGGCGATGTGGGCCATGGAGGTCAGCTTCCCAATTGATGTGGACCAGACAAGCGTCCTGTGAGTTGCTTCAGCATCCCCGTGGAAAGCCGCAACCCCACGTTGCCATGCCTCTTCTGGACGAGATTTATTGAAAGACCGTGCAATGTGAGTGGAGGAAGAAGGGTGGCGGATCGGTGTGCTTGTTTGTCAAATTTGTATTTCGCCACGCTTGCCTCGCAACGCTTGTCGTGCACGTGTGCACGCACACGCAGACGCACATGCACATGCACACGCAGACGCAGACGCACATGCACATGCACACATGCACGCACACCCGCACAAGCACGCGCACGCACCACGCCCGCACACTGGGCTCGTGCACACTCGCCCTCATCCACGCCCACGCCCACGTACACGGGCGCGCACGCGCACCCACGCGCACACACGCGCACCCACGCGCAGACACGGGCACACACGTGCACACCTGCGCACCCACGTGCACCCACACGCACGCACGCGCACACACGCGCACACACACACACACACGCACGCACACACACGCACACACACCAACACGCACACGCACACACGCACACACACGCGCACACGCCCACACACACACACACACCCACCCACACACACACACACATACACACACACCCACCCACCCACGCACGCACGCACACACACACACACACACACACACCCGGCGCACGCACGCACGCACGCACGCACGCACGCACGCATGCCCGCCCGCCCGCCCGCCTCCCCGCGCACGCACGCACGCACGCACGCACGCACGCACGCACGCACGCACGCACGCACGCACGCACGCACGCACGCACGCACGCACGCACGCACGCACGCACGCACGCACGCGCACGCGCACGCGCACGCGCACACGCACACGCACGCACGACGCACGCACGCACACGCACACGCACACGCACACGCACGCGCACGCACGCACGCGCACGCGCACGCGCACGCGCACGCGCACGCGCACGCGCACGCGCACGCGCACGCGCACGCGCACGCGCACGCGCACGCGCACGCGACGCGCACGCACGCGCACGCGCACGCGCACACACGCACGCACGCACGCACGCACGCACGCACGCACGCACGCACGCACGCACGCACGCACGCACGCACGCACGCACGCACGCACGCACGCACGCACGCACGCACGCACGCACGCACGCACGCACGCACGCACGCACGCACGCACGCACGCACGCACGCACGCACGCACGCACGCACGCACGCACGCACGCACGCACGCACGCACGCACGCACGCACGCACGCACGCACGCACGCACGCACGCACGCACGCACGCACGCACGCACGCACGCACGCACCCGCACACACACACAAACAAACAAACAAACAAACAAACAAACACACAAACAAACAAACACAGACACACACACACACAAACACACAAGCACACAAGCGCACAAACACACAAACACACACACACACACACCCACACCCACACCCACCCACACGCACACGCACACGCACACGCACACACACACACAAACAAACAATCAATCACAAAAACAAACACAGACACACACACAAACACACAAGCACACAAGCGCACAAACACACAAACACACAAACAAACAAGCACACAAGCACACAAGCACACACAAACACACACACACACCCGCACCCACACCCACCCACACGCACCACGCACACGCACACGCACATGCACACGCACACGCGCACGCACACGCACGCACACAGACACACACGCGCCCGCGCCCGCGCCCGCGCCTGCGCTCGCCTCCGCCCCCGCTTTCGCACACGCGCGCACGCGCACGTGCGTGCGGCATGCGTACGTGCACGCGCGCGCACGCACTTTCCCACACACACACGCACTCACACACACACACACGCACACACACACACACACACACAGACGCGCACACGCGCACACGCACACACGCACACACGCAAACACGCAAACACGCACACACGCACACGCCGCGCCCACACGCACACACACACACACACACACACACACGCAAACACGTACACTCGCGCACCCGCACACACGCGCACACGCGCACACACGCGCACACGCGCACACACGCACACACGCACACACCCGCGCACACGCACACGCCCACACGCACACACGCACACACGCACACACGCACACACGCACCCACACACCCACACACGCACGCACGCACACACGGACACACGCGCACCACCCACACACGCAACGCACACACGCACACACGCACACACGCACACACGCACACACGCACACACGCACACACGCACACCCGCACACACGCACACACGCACGCACGCACGCACGCACGCACGCACGCACAGACACACGCATACGCACACGCACACGCACACGCACACGCACACGCACACGCACACGCACACGCGCACCCACACACACACACCCACACGCGCGCGCGCGCACACGCACACGCACACGCACACGCACACGCACACCCACACACACACACACACACCCACGTGCACCCACGCACACCCACGTGCACCCACGCGCACCCGCAGCGCTATCGCCATAGACAAAGAACTGCGAAAAGAGCAACAGAGCAACAACAGGCGCGACAGGCTCTGGACAAGGGGGTGCAGGAAGCCACAGAGGAAGCTCTAGGGCACAGAAGGGGCGAAAGGGGGCATTCACAAGACGACAGTAGCTGCATTTGCGCGCTTGCGCGCTCGCTGGGCGCGTGATTTGGTTTGCGAGCCTGCCCGCCCGTACGCCTGCTACGTGGTTTGTTCGGGGCCAGCTTTGCAGCATCGCGGGGACGCAAGGGGTGTGTCCGAACGCTCGCGCTTGGGCCCGTGTTTCTGGTCAGTGCTTCAAGCATTGTTTGTCATAGTTCTAGGGGACACTTCCCCATTCTTTCCAGGGATCCTTTTTTTCAGAAAACGGGGAAACAGCTGGTTTTTGAAAAGAACGATGGTTGAAAAAGGGGAAGTAACCCCTAGAATAGTCTGACCATGCCGAGGTTCTCGTTGCCCATGGAAAGCCCTTCCGACGTGGCGCTTGGCCCCGAGCAGGCGAGGGACGTCTGCATTTGTTCATGCTTTTTCCATACATGCGCCGTGGCACGTGGCTTTTAAGGATTACTTCCATTAGCTCAAGATTTCCCCCTGTTGGTTTTAAAGGGAATCTATCACTACTGGAAATATATTTTGTTCAGGGGTCTTGACCAAATGGAAGATTAGCAGGGGCCATGAAGGGCGGCCACGGCCCAAGTCACAGCCGCGGCTGCAGCTTACACGAATTGGGGGTGGCCAAAACTTCCCGTAAATATGTGCAAGACGCGTGAGACGCATATAACTTTGGGAGGAAAACCCTCAAACATGTTTGGGGAAGATGGATCTTTATGTAATCTAGATCCAACGCCTCTGTTTGGTGGTACGGGTTATAAATTTCTGTCCCAGAAGCCTTCAGAGGTTGTTAATCCGATTTCAACCAAACCATTGGTGAAGTCGTTGCCACGCGTTCCTTAGTTTCGGGCCAAATCTTTGGCTCAGGCCCTGGACGAGGAGGCCCGCGTCGATCAGACGATCACACGCAAGCGCAGCGTGCGCTTGGGCGTTCAAACGCCCACGCAAACCCAACTAGCAAGTGGTTGAAATCAAGCCCGTCACGTGGGTTCTTTGCGGGGCAAACCCTTTTTGTGGGTTTTGAAAAGATGCCAGCGGGTTTCCAAATGAATGGTTTTAGTTTTCGAAACATGGCTTGGGTCACTGAATCAGACTGGCTGTTTCTCAAACACCCATCGCGCACTGGGCAAACATTTTTCGAACACATGCGAGCGTGTCAGCCGTGTGGGTTGGGCTTTCCTTGCCGGCTTCACGGCTTCCCCTAAGCAACCTAAACCCACAAAGCTCTTTTCAGATCCCTTGCGCCTTGCTCAAACTTGTTTGGGCTGCAAATGCCCACCAGTCCAATGCGATGGTCAGTTTGCATCTGCTGGTTTTATGTTTGTCCTGGTTGCGCCATATTGTTTGCTGTTTGAAGAGAACAACTAAGCTCCACAAGGCTCTCCTTCGGACAGTCGCCAATCGAAAAACACCAAAACGTCCATTCTTCTGCCCGGGTTTGTGATCCTTGTTTCTGCTTCTGGATCTCCCTACCCGGGTTGTTTGAGCACCGTCTTTGGTTGGCAGTGGGTATGCTTTTCGGGCGTTGTGATGCTTAACGCACGGATTTTCCGAGAACGCAGCCTCAGAAGGTCTCAAGCCTTGCAAATTACACACCCATACAAGGAACCCCTTTTGATCGTTTTAATCACCACAACCGTGCAAGAGAAGAGGTGTTTGATGAGCCTTGTCCGCCGACTTGTCCGCGATGGAAGCCAAGATCACAAGTTGCTTGTTTGTTCAGGGTGTTTTTTTTGTGGGAGTCATGACCGAGAGAATCAGAGGGCGCCAAGCCGCTGTTTGGGCGTTCCGACCGATTCCCTTGTTGTGAGACGTTGCCCAATCCGCTCAACGGGGCCCGAGCGGTTGGTTCGCTTTGTTTTCCATGGAGCTTCGGAGAATTCGTTTGAACGTATTTTATGGTTGGTTCCAAAGGGAAGGAACAGTTATGGATCCGAAACCACAGGGGGAAAGTGTCTTTTCAGTTTTTGAGTATTTCTGGTCGCGCCCTCATTCCCTACCCATCAGCAACTTGTGAACTTGGGCGCGATTCGAAACGCGGATTTTCGGGCCTCAACCTGCTGCGAGCTTTGGCCCCGAGGTTGGTTTCTGCAAGACCCAGATGAAAGGGGTGGAACCACCTAGAAAGGGCGAAATGATTACACTAGTCTCGTTCTCCGATCGCATTGGACATAAAAAGTACAATTCCAAACGAGTGAGGCGATTCTGAGATTTCTGCCGACCCTTTCGGCTTGAGAATTCCAGGGCCCGCGAAGCTTCGCCAGCGACGAGGACCGGGATCGCAGGCGGGGAGTTGGCGCAAGGGCGCCTTGCGGGCGCCGTTCCAAGGGTTCCACCCAAGAAGCGCCTGGCCGAGATGGGCCAAGCCCCAAAATGGGCGGATTCTCTTGAGTGGTCTTGAGAATTCCTTTTAAATTAAGCCCCGGTGAGGCTAGCCAAAAAGAAACGAAGCCTTGAATTTGCTTTGGGGAAAAGAGCAGCTGAATCACTTACGTAGCTTGGCGGTACGTTTTGTTTGGTTTGAGCGAACGCACTCTGTTTAACATATTTCTAGACAAATTATAGCGAGCTCACTGGCCTGAGGCGAGCCCCAACCCCCGAAATACGAGGTGGTTTCCGAAATAAGGATTTCTCAAATCTGTGGGGTGTTATTCGGCGCACCGGGGCGCCAAGTGTGGCCAGGTGTGCGAGATTCCGACCCCCGTAAACAGCTTGAAAGCACATATGTTTGAGACAATCCGAGCCCTAATTTCATTAACACAGGCATCAGGTTCTCAAAAACCAGCCGTTTCTGCTTACTTGGCCGTAAAATGCTTGCTACCGCACTCGTTTGAGAAAAGATGGCCCTTCTCTGTCCCTCATTCAGACTGGCCTCAAAATCCCAACAACCAGCCGTTTCTGCTTAGTTGGCCTTGAAAAGCTTGAAAAAACAGATGTTTGAGACAATCCGGCCCTTCTCTGTCTCTCATTGAGGCGGGCATCAGGTCCTCCAAAACCAGCCGTTTCTGCTTATTTGGCCTGAAGAAACTTGAAACACACACGTTCCAGAAAGTCCGGGGCCCTTCTCTGTCTCTCGTTAAGACACATCAAGCTGTCAGAAACCAGCCGTTTCTGCTTAATTGGCCTTCAAACGCTTGAAAATACACTCGTTTGAGAAATCCGGCCCTTCTCTTTCTCTCATTAAGACTGGCATCAACTTCTCAAAAACCAGCCGTTTCTGCTTAGTTGGCCTTGAAAAGCTTGAAAACACACGCGTTTGAGAAAATCCGGCCCTTCTCTGTCCCTCATTCAGACTGGCCTCAACTTCTCAAAAACCAGCCGTTTCTGCTTAATTGGCCTGAACACACACGCGTTTGAGAAAATCCGGCCCTTCTTTGTCCCTCATTCAGACTGGCCTCAAATTCTCAAAAACCAGCCGTTTCTGCTTAATTGGCCTTGAAAAGCTTGAACACACACGCATTTGAGAAAATCCGGCCCTTCTTTGTCCCTCATTCAGACTAGCCTCAAATTCTCAAAAACCAGCCGTTTCTGCTTAGTTGGCCTCGAACAGCTTGAAAAAACCAGATGTTTGAGAAAATCCGGCTCTCTCATTGAGACTGGTCTCAAGTTGTCAAAACCGGCCGTTTCTGCTTAATTGCCCTTAACTAGGAGGCAAGGAAGGCTCGCCAAAATACGAGGTGCGAGGTGGACCCTTAATTTGCGAGGTAGTATTTTATTACTGTTTTAATAATTCGAGGTACGAGGTAGAAATTATTATAATTTGTCCAGATATTTGCTCGCCATCCAATATGCGTCGTGGGGGGGTAGTTTGGATGCACAGACAGGGTCAACCTGAAAACCTGTTTCTGGAAGGGACCCTCGCTTTTGGGCACCAACGAGTCCGTCCAGGCCTGAACAACCAAATCCCCCACCGCCCCACTGCAGCCCCAAATCCACCCCAAACGCAGCACTCAGTCCAAACCAAAAATTTACCAATCCCAAAGCAGCTCAAAACTTATCCTAAGCCCTGAATTCGAACTAACTCAGCTTCCCTGAGCAAACCCAACACCAGCCCAAACCCCCCCAAAACCAAGCAGCAACCAAGCCAAAGCCAATGCCAATCGAACCAAATCACACCCAACACGCCAAGACGGCTGCGGGGGTGCGTTTGTTGCGAGAGGCAGAGAACTTATGCACTATATGCCCCTGCTTGTCTTTGTTATTTTGAGACAGAACTGTGTTTGGACGCATCTGGAGTTTTTGCGGTTGGAGGCTGGAACTTGCGGTTTGCAGGTGTCTTGATCGCTCTAGGCGCCATATACTCGGGTGGTTCATAGCATCCATATTTGTTAGATGCCAGCTTCCCGTGGAAGCTAGGCTCTCTTTCTTACTCGCTTTTTCGGAGGAGCCTCAAAGAAGCTGCTCCCACTTTTTCGGAGGCTCTCTTTCTTACTCGCTTTTTCGGAGGAGCCTCAAATGATTCGTAGTCCATATTTGCCGGAGGCGAGCGGTGGCTTTCGGAGCCGGTTCCCAGCTTTCCATGGGGCCCCATTCAAAAAATGCTGCCCAGGGACTCGGCGGGCTCCGAGGACGCGATGCAACACGCAGAGGTGGGGGGTGGAAAGCACGCCCCAGGAACGGAAACCCTGAAATTGAGCGTTGTTTTAAAAGCGGAAACCCTAAAAATGAGCCTTTTTGTTCTTTCTTTTTAGAGAATGATGTGGCGGGGTAGTGTAAAGAGCATCACGGGAGTAAGCCATTCATTCTAGATGCATTTGAATTTTTGGGGAATTTCTGTAAGTAAGCCACACCAGACAAAAGCCTAGGGGTAAATTTTATGGTAAAACCCGGCGGTTCGCCTCTGGCGCTTTTCTCATCAAAAACCGAGAGGTAAAAACAGGCTCCAGGTTTGGCTTCCTCCTGTGGAACAGATCACATCATGGCCCTGCAAGCCTTTCTCACATGTGTGCACCTGACAACCATATCGGCCCCAGCGGAGCGTGTGGCGACGGTCAGGGCGCATTCATTTCTAGGTGATCATCACCGAGGGCACGGGCAGCTTCTAGGAGCGGTTCAAGCAGAAGGTCATCGACGACGGTGGCCGGGAGCAGTTGAACTGGGAGTTGGGGCCGTTTGCAAGTCGCCAATGGCGAGCCAGCTATGCTGAAGCTTCTGGGTCTCAGGTGGAAGCCGCTCGAACTTGAGCCCCAGATCCTGATCCTGACGGAGACGATGGTGACGGATGTGATGGAGAAGGAAGCGAGAGACCGTCAAGGGCAGGTCAAGGACGCCGACAACCGGGCGAACATGGAGCTTGAGAGCGGTTTGATGAGCACATGGACCTGCCCCAAGACGTGGAGATCGGAGAAAAACTTCAAGCAGTGCCAGAGGAACCTTAGATTGTGGCTGGTGGAAGCTGAATCTAGATCACCGAAGGCCCTCATTGGCAAGAGGATCATCGACAGCTTCACACCTGTCGGTGGAAGAAATTTGTTTGGAGGACGGCTACCAGACCATCGTGAAGATATTGGAGGATGCCCGCGAGTACTTGAAGGACCAAGGCCTGGAACAGGCATTCGACAAGACGATCTTCCGAGGACGACGAGAACGAGGCCAACCACTCACGGGTTTCCTGACGGCAACTTCGCTCAAGTCTGGGCGAGAGCCAAAACCTTCTGGGTTTGTGAAGCCTATGGAGAGAAGGACAGTTGATGGACTACGACGGCCTAGGCGACTATGGCCCGATGGACGATGAGCCCGACACGGAGGTAGTTGAAGAAGTTTTCGCTCACCTCATCTTCTACGAGCACTACGAGGATGAGGAGCCCAAGGTGGTCTTTATGGAAGAGCCCTGGAGGAGTGCGAGATCTACTCCGAAGCCCGCGACCGGTTGGATCGCTTCAAGGGTAAAGGCAAGGGCAAGAAGGGCAAGAGCAAGGGCAAGGGCTATTCGCGGACGTACCAAGCCGGCAAGGGACATCTTCCTGGAGGCCGTAGAGGTGGATATCGACTGTAAGGAGGACACCGAGGTGGCGCCAGCGCCTAGCTGAAAGCCAAGACCAGGTGCCACCAGTGCAAACAGGTGCGCCATTGGAGACGCGAATGACCACAACGTGCGCGGCCAGGAGCAAGCCCCAGAAGCCACCCAGACTGTACTTATTGATGCGGCTGCTCAACATGGATTGGTTGGCAAAATGACTGTGGAGAAGCATGATGAGTTATTGCAGAAACGGTTTGAAAGAAAGTGGTATCACAGTTCGAGGAGTTTGTGGTTCAGAGGAGTCCACCCAAATAGCTTACACCCCTTTGCTGATTCCAGCATATCTCCTCACGGACTTGGATGCCATCATTGATATGCAGCACGGGTGGATCGCACACACAGCCCTGAATGTTAAGCAGGCAACGGCTTGAGTCAGATCATGTGCCAGTGTCAATTGTGGAGTTTGGAATTAGGTTTTAGATGCCTGCAGAATATCCGTGTGACTGCAGTCGGGCCTGGGGCTTGGACTGCAAGCAGAGTCAGTCCACCGCCCCGAATTTTCTATGCCAACCGCGCTGCTTGTTGCTGCGGTCGCTCACCTACATGGCGGTGGAAGCTTGGCAGGCGCTCTTGCAGATCATGCGGTTGCCGCATCCTCGAGAAGTCCGACGCATCGTCGCACGGCAAGAACGTTTGGAACAGGAAGCCATGAACCTGATGCAGAAGGAGCAGAAGATCATGGCCGAGGCTGAAGATCACGGACGAGACGGACGACCGGCAACGACCAAGGGCATGCGTCGGCCAGTTTTTCTCCTCGCGCAGCAAGACCAAGCACGGTGCGAACAAGTACTGGAGCTATCAAATTTGCGAAGTATGCAGCAAGAGCAAAGGATCTCAACCAGTGGAACAAAACGCTGACCTACCTGAAGCCGGACTACAACCTCAAGCAGTAGATCGTGAACGTCAGCGCCAAGTCCAAGGCCAAGATAAGGAGGTCCTGAGACCGTCATCCTCGTGGACGACCGCCTGACACCGAGGACAAGCGCAGCTTGGACGGCGCCAATCAGTGGAGAGCGGCGAGACAGGCTTTGCGATCCCAGGGCAGGTCCAGCTTATCAAGGGCATGCAGTGGTTCCTGTGGATGTGCAACAACAACCACCAATGTCGCTATCGCCCCCGGGTGCATGGATGACCAGGAGACGATGCTGGCGGAGCCCACGATCAACCAGCACAAGAGCAACGACGCTCAAGAAGCTGGATCAGGAAAAGACACGTGTAGCCATGGAACATGGTGATTTGGTGCTTGGATCAGGCGCAGTGATGACCAAGCCCAGTGGTCACGCGGAGAGTTCCAAGAACAGCGATGAGTGCGCGCCAGAAAGCAGCAAGTGACGCACAGCAGGTACGACATCCGCGGCAAGCAGTGTGCCAATGGCATCGCTACGACATGAGCGCCAAACGCTTCAGAGGATCCAACTCACCCGGGCCACTTTGGTCCGATGTTGTGCGACGGATCACGCTGGACCTGAACGCCAACGAGGTCATATCCGACGAAATCATCGCGCCTGGACTTTCAGTACATCGACTACACCATCTATTACCAGATAGAGCCAACCTTGGTCTACAAGCGGATCGCTGGACATCCTGACCCTGGTACCGTGCAGCGCTGGGCTCTGAACAAAGCTGGCGAGCCAAGGCGCGTTGGATAGTGTTAGGTCACCGAAACCCGGACGCAGCCGAACTTTCGCCGACACCACCTTCCACCACGGTGATGCTGACACCGCAGATCATAGCCTCATTGCGCTACGAGCTCTTCATCATGGATGTGACATCATCATGTGGTCAGTCTGATTTTCACGAACGGGGCCAAGGACCTCTAAACGAGCATGCCCCCGGGGCAAGCCCAAGCATACCTTGGTCCCGGTCCTCGCCGCAGTCTATGGGCTGGCGAACGCTCCTGCAGTTTGGCGCAAGACAGTGAGGAGGTTGTTACTTTCTTTGGGTACTCGGAGTCAATCTGCGACCCATGGAGCGACGCATCTTCATGGGCCAACAATACAGTCTCCGAAGCAGCTGAGGATCATCCCGATCCCACCGGAGCAAGGCATGTGGATGAGTCTGGCGGCTGCTTCAATGGCGAACGTGGAGAACAAGTCGCAGGGTGGCTTTGTGATCGCATTAGCGGACCGGGAAATCAAGAAGGGCAAGTTGGTGGACACTAGCATCAACTCATGGAAAAAACCACTGCTTGCGCCGAGTGGTGAAGGCAACTTTGGGCCCTGGCTTTGGTGATGGACAATGCACTGTCAGAATTGGAGTGGATTCAAGCACCTTGGTGTGAAGTGATGGACCCAGCGAGTTGTGTGCTGGATGGCACAAGGTTCGGGTCTGAGGAATCAATCATGGCACTGCGGGTGGACTGACAAGACAAGTCACTGCATATGACGGATGCCAAAGCTCTACGACCTGTTTCAACGACGTTCCGGGAATGCTGCAGATTGATGTGGCGGTGATATGCCTGTCAGCCTGCTTAAAGCGGATGTTCACGGGGTTCCAGGAGTCTACATGATTGCGGACCGCCTCACCAAGCGCAATGGCAACAGCAACCTCATGAAACTCGTTTTGAGTTGCGCGTGAAGGCATGTGCAGGAAATGACCCGTGAAGGATGTGGAACAGATCGCATCATGGCCCTGCAAGCCTTTCTCACATGTGTGTGCATCCGATCACCATATTGGCCCCAGGGCGCTTGAGCTTCGTAGCATTGATCTCCGCTGAGTTCATCACCTCCCGTCGGATCTGGGGATCCTTCCAGAAATGGTCAAAGGGTCAGGGGATCTGATGAATATTTGTGGGCGTTGGAAGGGCTTGGGGACCCATGCGTTTTGGGGGTCTGTACCTCTCCAGGTATCAATCGACCTAGAGGAATCTCCGAAGCGGGGTGTGGACCCCCCGATTAGTGAGGCAAGAGTAATTTAGGGGTTGTTGAAGGATGGGCTTGTGGGTGAATTCTGGGGTTTAGGGCTGACGTCAGGTTGGGGTTTTCAACTTCAATCGGGCACGGTTGCTTGGCAGGTTTGATCAAATGAAACAAGTAGACCCTAAATCTACCAGCCGGTTGTCTCTCTTTGTGCTCGTGTGTGGTTGTTCTTCACTCAATTCAAACGGGGCGCTTCCTAACCTGAAGAACCTCCGCTCGACCCCGAGTCGGCTGCGAGGCGGTGGTTGCCAAGACCAGCAGGCGCGTCGTGGATCCAAACCGGCCTTGTGGCATTGGCTCTCTTCCCGAGTTCCTGGACTTTGAACTTTTTGGGAAGACCATTTTGTTGGTGAAGAAAAAGTTTGGACTTCTTGTGGCTCCACTCAGAAGTGAGTTTGTTTTACTGCCCTTCAAATTGACATGAGCAGCGGAGATTATCGCTGGTCTGTTCATTTGGCGAGTACCTGGGGGGCCTATATCCACCATTTTCTACCACAAAAAAGGCGGGCCTTCCCAAGTGGTCCAGCTGTAAGTCGTAAGTTTCGTAGCAGACGGAAGGAGTAAGGAAGATTCGCGAGCTCGCGAGCTCACCATTGGGAATTCCTTGGCAATCGGTGCAGAAATACAGTGGATGGACAAAATTATGCGCTAGTTGATAGGTGGTTTATCCCAAGATACGTGGGGTTTTATCCATCCCAACTGGTGCAAGATTTCGTCGATGCACAGTATGAAGTGGTTTGGGGTTCCATGTTAATCGGTTTTTTCTACCTGACACCAGGCGTTGTGACGTTCCCAATCTAATTGGTGAAAACTCGCGTTTCTACACTGCCGGTTTAAGCCTATCGGACAATACCACTGTCTTTTGCATTTCTGCAGCTTTGATGCTTGTTTCCCACGTGAGTGTGTTGCTTAGGTACGGGAAACTGCAAGGATACCCACCTAATATTTTAGCGGTCTCTTCTCTTGACGCGTCATCGTTTGGGGAAGTTAAATCTCAAAATGGGGGTTTTCCCTTACCGCTTCCCACCAGCGCCCTCTTGAGGGGAAAGATGTAGATGAAGGGCTTGTTGCAATGTCGATGGCGTCTTTTTTGTTTGGTTTTTGTGGCGTGGGGGATGAGTCATGTGTTTTGTTGGCTTCCTCAGCTCCGCAAGGTCCGAAGTTGCCCGGCAAATGTGGTTCGCCTCGGTTCCGGGGTAAACGGAGGACCAGTTAGGTTACCCTCCCCCTCCTGACTTTACTGCTCAGTTCCCAAGGTGTTCTTCCTCATTTTTAGTCTTGGTCCAAACACTTTGGTCAACTTGAGCCGTTCAAATCTGGGCGCCTGTGTTTGGTACCTGGAGTCTCCATGACCCTTTAAAAATGGGTCCATGCCCCCTTTGTTTTGGGTAATGACCAACCATTTTTAACTGGTCATGCAGACTCCAGGTGGGTTTTTTTCCAAGCCAGCCCAGGCTGGAAGGTTTACACAGCCGTTCTTGACGTGCGCGCAGGAAGGACAAGAAGAAGAAGACGGCGAAGGGCAAGGCCAAGAAGTGACGCTCAAAGAAGTGACGCTGCCGGGTCCCCCGAATGCCAACCCCAGATTCATAAACCCCTGGTTGATTAATAGGGGGGTGTCCCCTTTTAGTGGGGATTCATCACTTTTGGAGGGAACAACCCCCTAATAGTGGGACGGGTTTATTAATCCTGGGTCAACATTATAGGGGGTTGATCAATATTCCCTCCGGCCCTCAAACGACCACGGGGATTTTTTCCATGTGGGAAACATGATCTTGTTAGTGGTTCCCCCAATGGTCGTCCCGTGTAAAGGACCTTTTGATCAACCCCAATATTGCCCTGTAAAGGGAGGATGCAACCCTCACCTTCCGCGCCATTTAAAGCGAGCGTTCCGAGAGAAGTTCAAGGGGGACATCTGGAGCCCTGAAAAGAGGGGAGGTGGAAAGTCGGTCAGGAGAGTTCGAACCTTCTTTTCGATCCCGGACGTCCTGGGGCGTTTGGTTTTTGGTTTTTTTGGGTGGGGGTTCCATTGAATATCCACCAAACATACAACAGAACAACAACATTGTCGCTATTTTATCCCTGGACAATTCGTTTGTTACCGAATCGATCGCCTTTTCTTTCGGAGGTTCTGAACTCCCACAGAATTCAGCGACTCGATCAGCGTCATTTACTGCGAGCGGTATGTTACAACTTGACATGGACGTGTCTTAAAATGAGGGGTTTCCTGAACATGGTCTCCTCTTTAAACCAGGCCAACAAGGGCACCGAGCCGCAACAACACGACAAATTTACATGGCCTTTCAGTCCAAATGGACACCGTCCCAGCCTTACATCGCCGGAATTACGTTTTTTGTTTGCCTCCTTGGGTTTGCTTCCTTTTGTTCTTTTGACCATCAAGCAGTTGACTTCTTGCAGAAAAGCCTAAGTTTGTTAGTAAGTTGTTCTACTAATAGCAGGCTTAACTCCACTTGGGACGTACAGGTCGGATATAACCTGGATCACCAATAACTAGCTTGGCTGGACACCAGAGGATTAGTTTTGCAGATACATCGGGGAACATAGGCAGGTTGAGCCAGTTTATGCACCAGAGCCCCATGAAACAATTGACAAAATAGTCATCGGGGACGGAATTCCACTTTGGGTGCAAGAGGAAACCGTTCCTCGCAATCAGAGTTTCAGTTGTTGAAGATTGAAACGAAGTGCGTGAGTTTAGCTTTTCACCTGGACCACCTTCTGTACCAAATTGGAATCCCCAAATTTGGCAAGCTCGCTTGCAGGGATCATTGTCTCATTTTTATCCCAGGACACGTTCACCTTTGAAACATCAGGGGGAAACCAAAGGGGTAAGCACCGCCAAGACACTTTTCCAGATCTTGCCCTTGAAGCAACTTCTAAATGAAATCAAAGGGTCGGTGAAGCTTCGCGCTCCTTGCCAGATATATGTGCAATATTTTTGCCATGGAACTGCCATCAACATTTGCATCAATTCATACTACATTCCCTACATCGGTTTGGTGTACTTTACCAGTCTTTCCCTAGCTAGGCGGTTCACTAATCAGGGAAGACCTGCCAGCGCCATTTCATGCTTGGCAAACTGCCCTAGCTCTCGCCTTCGCGGGAGGTTTAAGTTTCACGCAAGTCCTGGCCAAAACGGCCAGTCGCGTCGTGAGAGAGACAAGAGTCGTTCTTCGCGGCGGAAAAAGACGAAATGACGTCTTTGGAAAGGCATAAGGGAAACCAGCCACTCCGTTTTCAGGGGAATCAAAAGAACCAGTAAGAGAAACCATAAGGAAACCACTCCCGCTCCCGGGAAACCAAACTGGACATCCCTCCGTTGCCATACTTGGGGCTCCGAATTCCTTACAGGTGCCCCTATGTCCAGCCAGAGCAGAACCTATCACATGCCGGTGGGTTGTGGGGTAAATCCAACGTGGACCTGCAAACTGGGGTCCTTCTACGGGGAGTTCAGGATCCCCGAAGTAAAGTTTCATGGGGCATTCGAATCGCTCGTTTGCGATCCCCGCATCGGTGAGGTCGCTAGTCAGAAGCCACCAGTTGGGAAGCGTCCAAACCGGCAAGGCGGCCAAGTGGGGCCTGAATGGTTAGAATGGGGTAAGGGTACATTGATAAATGTATGTCACGCAGATGGACTTGCGCTCCCGGGAGCTTTCTTGTTAGACAATGGGCAAACGAAATTGCGGCCACACATGTAGGGTTTGCCACCTTGTTCCGAGGTTGGTGGAGTCTTCGGATTCACCCAAGATGGGCGTGTGTGTTTTTTGATTCGTTCACCCGAATGGTCAATGGTCTCTCCTCCCTTAAACCCCAAAAACACTCGGAGGGTTTTTATTGTTAGGGTCCCCCAGTTTTTGGCCAGAGCTGTTTCAGATTGCGTTGTTGAGTGTTGGGCTCAACTTGGAAAGGGGGAATCCTTTGATTTGTAGAACAAAGTATTCAGAATGCAATTGTCGAATCAGAACTTTTAAAGGGAAGGCGCCCTCGTTTTTTTTTTTTTAATCAAAAAGAAACCTAATAAACACCCTTGTTTGTTTTCAATCAGAGATCTTATGAAGGGAACCTATGGAGACCCTAATAGTAAACACCCTCCCGCAAGGCAACCCTTCGGTGGCCCCGAATAAGCACATAGGGGAGCTGGGCTGAGCTCATCTGCTTTCTAGGTGCTGCTTAGCATTGGCTTAGTAGTAGGTAGTTTGAAATTAGTACTGGCAACTTTTGGGGTCGGCAGGGTTTGTTATTATTTGGGGTCCGTTTGTAAGGAAGAAGTTATTCAAGAGGAACAGGCTCAAGACCAGACTTTGCAGATCCCAAGTTTTGACTCATCCAAGATCCACAGGCTGACTGGTTGGCTTCCTTTGCCCATGGGCAGACCAATCCGAAACATCCAAAGATCGCCAGAGGCCCAGAGTGTGGCCGCGAAAAACTTCCTGAGCCCGTGCTTTTGGGTCCAAAACAAAGATGCGAGTGCCATCCCAAGCCTCGTATGCCGCGTTTGGCTCCTTTTAGACTCCAGACGTCGCCTTTGGCCGACAGTTCAAAGGGGACCTCCTCTAGGTGCTTCGCTTCAACTTCATTGCAATCCCACTGCAGAGCTTCGAGCGGTGCAACGCTCCTTGGCCAAGTATATAAGCAAACGGGGCAAAAGGGGCAGATGCAAAACACTGCCAAAGGGACAACGCGACAAATTCAGGCCAACCACCGCCAACATCCAGCTTCATACCACGACTCGGAGTTGGCTTTTGTAGGGGCCTTGAAAGTTTCATAGCTGTCGGCCCTGTCGCTCCTAGCTTGGCTTTGAGATGTCGTGGAATTTGACAGAGGCATGACAAATCAGCAGACAGGCACTTTCCTAGCTCCAAAAGCAACCTGAAGCACCCAATATGTTCGAGCAACAGCGTCCCAGCAAAGTTCTTCACCTCCCAAATCGGAGCTAAACTTCGCAGAACACGCATAGCACTTGAACAAACAGAGAAGCCAACTGCAGCCGAGACACGTCCGGCAAGAAGCAACTTGTTGAGGCTGGTAGTTTCCAGCGCTCGGATTTTGGTTGCGCCATGGAAGCGTTAAAGCGCGGGGCCCGATCGAAGGGTTGGGGCCGGCTGCCTTGGGCGACACCAGTTATCGATGTAAAGTCTAAGTGATCCGAATGCGGTTGTGGGGAACTACAAAACCGAGTTCCCCTATGCTCATGGGAGAATGAAGCTTACAATGAGTTGGCTCTTCATGTCCAACATGGGTCCGGCCGCCCTTTCAACAAAGAAGCAGGGTTGGTTTCCATCATAATTAGTTATTTTGAAAAAACAAGGGAGCACGTGATTTTTCCCAAAAGGACAGGGCGCACCCATGTTGCTGTCATCCATTTTCCCACTGACATGGGTTCCCCCGCCAGCATCCCTTTGGGTCCCATTTTCCTCTGGGTTTCAGAGTTTCATGGCCATGCGAGGGGTACCTACCACCCAACATGAGGCATTTGGAGAGCTCAGCCCTTCTGGCTCGGCCAGAGGCTCCGAAAGGACAGTGAGGCCAATCTGTGGACCTGTCTATATCTGTTCTCGATGGAAGCAAGCATGACAAGGTGGGGCACTAGGTGTTGGGGGCACTCGAGTGTTAGTGATCTAGTACTGAAGCATAGAAGCTCGGTTGGGGAGGACCGGGTTGGATGTTTTGCGGGCGGTGGCCAGCTTCGGATTCATCCAGACCGTCAGATGGGCTCCCTCGTTTACAGGGCTCTGGTAGATCAGTAGATCTCCCAAGACCCCTGGATTCATCAAGCCTTCTTTGGAGTAGGCAGATGGAATCCTGGCACCTTAAGGAGAACCCTCCCTGAGCCTGGAGGGATGTTGACCATTTCTATTTGCATCTCCCCATTCGTTCCGGGACCCCTTCCTTTCACAGAACAGCCAAGCAAGCGCATATTATTCTGGTGTGACGCCAATAGTTGGACGTTAAATGTACCATGAAGACCAGTTGCTCTGGACTGGAGGAAGTGCTTTAGTGCGGGCTCAGCCTATGTTGTGCACTTGGCCGCCTTTGTTGGGTTGTAAACCTCCTAGCTGCGGCGCGCTGAGTTTGTTGATGCCCCCATTCGATGCGCAATTGGCCCTGGCATCTCGACCTGTCCTTAAAGGTGAAGCCTTCAGGTGTGCGAGGGAATGCGAGCGTTGAGCCGATAGCGCACCATGCAGAGGAAGCCATCAGAGCATGCAGAGGAAGCCATCAGGTGTCCCTGAACAATCATGGCAACAGGACCCGAGTGGACGTCTTGGATATAAATCGTCACATGGCAGGGTCGCGAGCACAAAGTCACTAGGACAAACCCACTATGTAGCTTAGTCATATACTTCCCTTCAAATGGGTCCATGGTCTGCTGGTTTCAACCAGTTTTGCAACTTGCCTGGCCGCCTCTACACACCAATCTCGGGTATTACAGGTTACATGTTCTTATATTTGTCCTTCCTGTTGTTTGAGTTGTTCATCTTTAGTGTTGCTGGGTTTACCCCACAACCAAGCAAGTTGTTTCCTCGCCCTGTCTCTAGACTTATGATACATTTCACATTCTGCCAGAAACTCAAAGTGAAGCAAACAATACAATCTACATTCCAAAAAACTGGGCCTAACTCTAATCATGTCGCCCAAAACGCCGTGTTTTTCCCTTTACCACCGCCCTGCGCCTTCCCTTCCCTCGCCACCGCCTCGCGGCTCGCGGCTCACGCGCGACGAGAAACGCTCCGAGGAGCGCCAAGGCAGCGCTGGCGGACCAGCGCTTCTTCGACGGAGTGCAGCTGGTGAACGGCGCCTTGGAGGCGGATTTTGTCGGCCGCGAGGAGCGGCAAAGACTCGACCGAAAGGTCTGCTCAGACTCAACAAAACAGCTAGTGAAGGGTCCAATACATGCTAATATGAATATTACATATATATATATATATGTTCCAGGCTTCCTTGGTCCCCCCCCCCCCCCCACCCCCCCCAATGGTCATGCTCAGTCGAGAAGGTAGCACAGTGTGACCCTACAAGCCCCCCGCCCCCCTGTGGGATGGGTGGGGGGGTCCATGGTTCCCACCCCCCCCGCCCCCCTGTGGGAATGGGGGGTGGGGAGAATGGTAGCACAGTGTGACCGCAAAGCACCCCGCGACCATGGTTCCCACACCGCCCGCCGGGGTAGCAAGCAAAGTGTGTTTGCCACTGGCGCGTTGCAGCGCACTTGGTTGGCACTTGGTTGTGGCGCTGCAAACCACAAACTGCACTGTCAATTGCGACAGCGCTGCAACTTGTCGCGTGCTGCAAAATGAGCAAATCGCATTGCAGCGCATCACACGAACAGCGCCGCAAACGCGCCCACAACGTCGCGCGCACACTGGAGCAAGCCGCTCCACAAGCCCCCCCCCCCTGTGGGGGGCGGGGGCGGGGGGGCCAGGGTCCCCCCCCCCTGGATGGACCCATACCATTGGGGGGGGGGGGGGGCTGGGGACGACGGGCGACGGGAACATATATATATATATATAGATATTATTTGTATATATGTATGGGTGTGGGTCAAAATCAAACCACCAGGATATGGACCGCAGGGTTTTGTCTTTCCATTTCGGGTACGCATTTTTGACCCATAGTCACATGGTTTTGTGCACAGAGCCCAGCATGGTTGTCGTTGTTGGTGCGCAGACCCCAAGAAGGGTAGTCTCTGTAAAACCACCCAAACATGGTTGTTGTTGGGAAGTATTTTTACATTTTGTCTTGTTGTGGTTGAGTGGTTGAAATGCAACCACTTAACAGCGAAAGTTTGAATTTTGCTGCCCTTCCAACGTCAGCCAGTAGAAAGACGACTTTCCTCGTTGGAAGGGCCTTGTTGCACTTCCATGTTAGTTGGTGGGAGGGTAAAAGCTCGAAGGAATCGAAGCCAGCCGGAAGAAGGTTGACCCCATAAATGAATGAACCAACCAGGTTATTCATAGGGGTGAGTCCAACTGGGTTTAATGGGAATCATCACTTTTTGGAGGGGAGTAGGTTTTGTTTGGGGGGTTTCCCTTCTGACACCAGCTGTAAAGGGGGAGTCCAGTTGCTTTCTTTTGGGGTTTCCCTTTAAAATACTAACCAAGAAGAGGATCCCCCTCACGCTCACATGTGTCCCACCTTAAAAACCCTGTTTATTGGTAAAACAACCTCTCCCCGCACGAGCCCCCCTTTGGTTTGTCAAGGGACACCAAAAGGAAACAGTTGGCATTTGCGGAAAGGGACCGATTCGGATTTTGAGAATCACACCCTCCTGTATTTTATGTACATGGTAGAGGGTTTCTATAAATGAACAAGGGTGGTTTCACTGCATTGCTTTAGTGTCCCCGTTTTGCATGGCAGGGAGAGTTTGGGGGCATGGAAGGCCCACCCAGATTTCTCTCGAAAGAATCACCCAAGCTTCCCATGTCCTCTCAAAGAAACAATTATCCACTATCCAGCGATCAGAGTCTACCCAAATCCGATGCAACTCAAACAACCGATAAGGGCCCCAAAGCCGACAGAAGTACTGTCCGTTGCTCATAGGGCCCTTTGGAGGGAAGGTGTCAAACCCGCTGTCCGTTTCGAGGGAATCCAAGTTCTGATCAGATTGTGTACGTGCTTTTGGAGCATTTTTTTCAGATCCATGAGTTTGTCTGAAACTTGGGGACGGGATGGGAACTCCATGAAAGGTTGGCAGGCAGGCAACGCCGACCGTATTCCATGAGTTGTTTCCAGGGGCCAAGTGGGAAAACCACCCACCGCGACACAAAGGACATCAAACCCGGAGAGACCAGAGCTTCCAGCCACGAATGAAGCGACGGCAGGCAGAGGAAGCCATCCATGGAACAGCCTAGCGATGAAAACCTCAACATGCTATGTTCAGCGCTTGGAAGCAGTGATTCACCCAAGGCTTATTTGGATGTTCGGGAGATTCCCTTCAGGGGTGTGGTTTCGAGAGTCACACTTGACCGCCGAATAGTTTTGTGGTGTGTGGGGTGCACCCATGAACCCCTCCCCCTCTTTGCGAGGCGAAAAGCCCCCTGGCCAAATCATTCGGGGCGCGTCTTGATGCGCTTGATCCAGGCGCAAGCAGGGAGCAAGGCAGGGGGCTACGTCCGGGTCCCCAGGCGTTTGGCCTCTAGGTTGGACCAAGTTCGGCGCCGAACAGATTGACCAAAGCGTTCTTGGATCCTTCGGCCAACATCTGACTGAGAGCGTAATGACCCAATCCAGACTCGGTATCCGCAGCTTGGGCGGAAGACTGGTCTACTGTGCCAGAGCGGAGATCGATTTCATGTTCAGAAAGCCGTCACTTCCGCCCAGACCTCCGGAGGGGTGCCCTCTCTGTTCCCTTCTTGGAGGGGGCTTCCCGTTGAAATCCAGCAAAAAGCGGGCGTGCCCTGACCACAGGCCTGGGTAGAAGCCGACAAACATGTAGCCCTCGTTTTCCGAGTCCCTTAGCACGTGGGGAGCGGGGAACCTGGGGGACCCACAAAAGGGAAACCCTGGCGACCTCGCCATCCCAGTATGCGGCTCCGCGCTTCGGGTGGGCCGAGGCCGAGGCCGAGGCCGGGAGGGCGGAAGACAAGCAGGAGATCCTCCGGAGCCCGGCAGGCGGCTCAGTAAGATTCCACTGCCGCAATGGAGGCCACCTGGTCGAAGCTGTGGATTATTCGGCGAACGCTGCTGCGTTCCAAAAGTGAAGGATGCTTCTAGAATGGGGCACCCTGCCAATCAGCCAATTTAATAATCCTGGGTTCCCATTACTCAAGGGCATCTTCAGGTGTGTTCACAATATATAAAAATGGTATGTAGTGTCTTAATCCCCTTGTAAGAAGTCGTATAATTATGAACGTTCCTCCACAACCTGCTCAGTTTCTAAACTTGAGGTGGCTTGTTGCCGAGGTTCTTCCTCATGTTTGTTCCAGGGCTGGATACAAACAGGCTTCGTCTAGGCGCGCAGCTCAGCGGCTCACAATAGATGTGGTTTGCCTGTTGGTTTGTTGGTTTGTTAGCTTGCTTGTTTCCTGTTGGGCACTCAGAACGGCCCCAGCACTTGGCACAGCGATTCATGCCCATGCCACGCTGAGGAGACGTTTCTGAAGCGAGCCGGGGGGCTCAGAGGGGCCAAGCATCACCTCCAGCGGGCTTCCCGGAGCTTCCCTAAGGCGAGCCTTAGTTGTGTGGTTTGGATTGCCGGGAGTTGAAGCCTTGCGAATCTTGTAGAGAGTAAATTGGAAACCACCCCCTAACCTCAATGCAAAGAGGGAAGCTGACTTAAACCAAAGAAAGAAGAGTCCTCTTTCCACGTGGCCACCGTGATGTGCAGGGTACATATGGATGTGCGGGCTTTCTTTGCGGGGTTGCAAGGTAGCCAGAAGCAACCCACCCGTTTTGTGGGGCTTTTCTAATGTTCAGATGCTACATGCCCGGCAGTTTTTTTTGGAGGCAAAAGCTGCGGTAGACAACATACTCCTCCCAAGACGCCTGCGCCTCCATTCGGTCCTATTAAGCTTTATGAAGCCCCAACGGTTCGGGGTTGATTGCGGGGCCGCCTGGTCAGATTGGCAAGAGTTATGCTCAGAATCTGAGGTTGCCCTCGAATCTTCCTGAGCGCTGACTTTCAAGTTGCACGTTTGATTTGTTATTTGTTGCAAGCCTGTTTGCAATATGTGGAAGCCACCGCAATCTGTTTATTTTGCTATCCTGCAAACAGAGGTGGTGATTGTACGGCTGTAGAGTATCCCTGACAAGGAAACACTTGAAGCAATAACGGGTGGCCAATCTCCAAAATTAGGGCTCTTTGTATGTCTTGCCAAGAATCCCGACAACCAACCCTACAAACGCAGCATCCTCAACCTTTAATTGGCCGGTTGCAGCTTTTGTTGGTGGGAAGAAACACCCAACCCACCGACTTTTCGCTTCCGAAGATTCCTTCCCTCTTTTTGGGGACCCTTTTGTTGGATGAATGTCTTCAGCCCGTGTTTTGGATAAGGAGCGCCTTTTTGGGGCATGTTGACGGCCAACTTTTCGCTGAGGAGTTGCCTCAGATGAAGGACGCCCAGCGGCAGCTCCTTGCGCAACTCTTCGCCGTGCGAACGGAGAGATTGGTTCGGGGGTGGATTGGGCACGCATGCTTGGCTGCCTCGGTTTGCTTCCTGTTTGCCTTTGTTTGTTCTTGGGTTGCAAACCCAGAAAAAAAGAAGAAGAACCTAGTTAGGAGGCTTGCAACCCCAGTTTCAGTTTGGTTAGAACTTGCTGTAGTTTCATATCATATGGACATGGGATCATAGATGACGGGGCTTTGCTAGGTTCAGGTACAAGCCTTGGTGCATCACTCAAGAATCTTGAGTGATGCACCAAGCAGGTTAGATGATGTCCAACTCAAGATGTTCTTGAAGTGGGACCTCAAATGAGAACTCCTCGTTTGAACTTACAGCAACCCTCGGGAAGGTTCAACTTGGTTGGCGTCGAAGGCAAGGCTTCGCGCTCCCTTGGGTCATCACGGGGTCCTATGCGCTGGTTCCCTATCCTTTTGAAACCATCGTTCTTGAAACGAAGAGACCAGCTGTCTTCTCAGGTTGTTTGAAAAGAAGGTTTTCTGAGGAAACGGGAACATGACCGCCGGAATGTTGATTGGCACTTTGCAAGAATCAGCTAGTGGGGGCGAATTTCCAAAGACGGCTCAAAAGGTTAGGAGCCTAAGAAGCCTCGTCCCTTGAAGCCGTCTGCTAGGTGCTTGAACCCCACTTTCCAACCAAACCATTTGACGAACTTTGTTACAAGGACCCGCTGATGTGTAGCAGCCCTTTTCGAGGGGTGAACGTCATTTCCCCCAGCGGGGTCAAAAGACAACCCGAGGGTCAGAGGTTGAAACGCCGGGCCAAGCTATTTTTTGGCGGTCAAATCCAGGCGCCAAAAGGCCAACCCTTGGGCGTGCTCCCGCAAATTTCGGAACTTCGAACCTTGGAAGCTTTTTTTTTTAAAGACGGCGCCTTGAATTGACTTGCTCTTGCCTGTGCTTCCGTTTTGGCCGTCTTTTCGATAGGCCTCACCGGCAAGAGGTGCCACAAAACGTCGGCCTCAGTTTGCACAGAAGCCGTGGCTGCAATTTGTGTCAGAGCGCTTTTGTTGTAACTACGCCCAGGGACTTTGTCTCGGGAAGTGCCTTCTGGCCCACGTTTCGGATTCTTGGAAGGGTCATTCTCAGGATGAGACTTTACATAGTTGATGCAAATACAAATCTACCCTTTTTCCGGCTACCCTCCCTTTAACACTAAAAGGTATCAAAGAAGTCATTGACCATGTCCAAAATCTGGGTGACCTATATAGCCTATAGCGGGCAATCGGGCCTTTTGCTCCTGATTTTACATGATGGACCCCTTTGCTACCACCCGCTCACTTGCTCGCCACAGAGTTTGCCGCCCACTTATTTGCTACACGTCCCACTTACTTTCTGTGTAGGGTTCATCCCTATTTACTACAGTGTTCGCCCGGGGAGATTTACTACACCCGTAATCTGTAATCGTGGAATTTGTGGCTCAGCTTTCGTGATTCATATTTTCTGGCTTTCTTAGATGGTAAACTTACAGTTCTTGCCACCCACCCAATCACAACAACCACCAACTCTCCAGTGGCAACCCCATAGCAACCCCTTGCCTACTCTACTTGCGTTCTTACCACCCCGCTCACTACAACAACCGACTCTCGGCACCCCCTTGCCCCCCCCACTCACTCCAAAACGTCACTGACCTCCGGGCCATTTCCCCGAGTCCCCCGTACTTGTGTTGGTTCCTTTGGACCCCCCCCCCCTGTTGCCACATTTGTGGGGCCGCTCGAGCCAGCACAACTGGCCGACCGCACGCGCGCGATGCCTGCAGGACTTGCTGCTGGGCCTCGGCGCGCTGAAGCGCGCCGTGGTGGACATCAGCGCCGCGAGGCGAGTGGCCGAGGGTCAACTGGGGTGCTGGGTAGGAAGTCCGGCCGGGTTTTTTGGGGGGGCTGGATGGTTCGGGAGCATCCGGTGCCTTAGGCTCTTATAAGTGAACTCGGGGACTTAGCGTAGATTGCGCTGGAAGTTTCTGAAAGTTGGACTTTTGGCAGATCTGGGAGCAGTCCAGTGGCGTTGCCTCTGAGGTGAGCTTGTTTCCTTATTTTCCATGTTTGTCTTCCCGAAGCAGAACTTAGTCCTTGGGGCGTGTGTCACCTCGAGCACTGCTTTTTGTTGGTTTAAGCGGGCTTGGTGTTGGCTTTTGTGCTTCTGTTTCCAAGTCGAGCAACACTTTGCGTCTTGGTGTAACAAGGGGCTGGGAGGTCAAGGGCTTTCAGGCCAAGGCCGTGTTCATGTCACGTGCTTCCCGACCGAAAATTTCCAGATACTGTCCCCAAAACTCCGCGACCGTCCCCTGAAGTGTCGCTCTTGTCCGTCGTTGCCCTTTTTCCCGCGTCGTTCATCGTCCTTGTCGCCTTTAAGTCGATTTCCTTTGTCTCGTTGGGAAGACGGAGACCTGACCGACCTGACGTCGCCGGGTTTCTTCCCTTCGGCGTTTTGGCGTTTGGGCGAAGCGAGCGCAGGCTGCTGGCGCCGGAGGACGAGGCCATGGCCAAGAAGCAGAAAGACATCGAAGGCAGTGGCCTTGGGGGGTTTGGGTGGCAGAAAAGCGCGGGTCCTTTGGTTGGCGCCCAGGTTGTTCCAATCTGAGGGCGCTGGTTTGGGGTGGTTGGCCCTTTGGTTGGCGCCCGAGTGGTTCTCATCTGAGCATTTTCATGGTTGAAGGGGTGTTCCTGAAGCATGTTTCTTCCGATGCTTTGCATTTCTGCCTCAGACCCTTGAGTGCGGGCTTTCGGGGAAACGTTGGGGCTTACATTTCACCCATTCGGCTTCCAAAAGAAAACGGTTTTGGACGATCGCCCCTGAGGCCAGCTGGCAGCGGGCCCTGAGACCGCGGCCGGGTCCAAGCAAGGGCCTCGATACCGAAAGCTGAGTGTTGGAATCCCCTCCTTGAACGAATGGCTTGGCACAAATCGCTAGGCTGTACTTACCTGTATGCTCTTTGATTCATCCTTCTTGCACTTTTGGGTTTCCCACTGTTTCCGTCAACCAGCGAAAAACACCTTTCGCAAGTATCTGAACTTGGCAAAGTGGGCCACAAGCCTAGTTGGCCGCCTAATTGGATTTTTGCCCAGATCCAAGCATTCGGCGGCCAGGCCATTTGGAATGTGGTTATGCAAGCTGTCAGAGTTATAAGCAGGAAGTGCTTGTTTCGCCTTTGACCTAGATATTGGTTTTGATCATGAGAAAGTCATGGGCCCTGCGGCCCTGTACCGGCAAATCGAACCTCTCTTGAAGAAATCTGAAAGATCGAGCCGACCTTTTAACCTTCTTGACCTTCTGGGCTTCCTCTCCAGTTGGGTAAAAATAGACGGCACAACTTCCCCCCAAGTTGGTTTTTGGTCATACCCTTTACCTACCTCATGAAAGGAATTGTGCCATTTACTTTCACCCGGGTGTAGTTTCCAGGCATGGAAGTCCGGCCAAAAAGCAAGGAGTACGGATCTCATCCTTTGCTTTGACAGCAAGCCGGAAGGAAATGCCCGGCAGCAAGCTCCCTTGCCCCTGGTTCTTGGGTCAAGATGGGCGACCCGTTTGGTTGGACATCCGCTTTTTGCGTGCATGAAGCTCTCACCATCACCTGGCAGGTTTCAACAGCCCGGCAAAACATGGGCCCCCTTTGATTTCCCCAGCCCTTGTGAATGAGCCTCCTTTGGCTTATCCCCCTCCTGAGTTCCTGAACTTGACACGTCGCAAGACGATTTTAGTGGCAAGCAAAGAGTTCTCTCTTGGCCAATCCACTCAACTGAGACCAGGGGCTGGTTGTTTCAACACGTTCTGGGCCACCCCGACCGATTTCGGTCGCGCCAAGGACGCCCACCAGCATCATCACTGGCTTCCTGGGCGCCGGAAAGTGGGGGCTGCCCAGTTTGTGATTCGCGTGGCAGGCTTTTGTTCAAAGTCGGGAAATTCCAGTTTGGGGCGAGCCTCCAAAACTGGGGTTGTTCTGCTTTCCTTGGTTCTTGTTGGTTGCTTCATTCATTTTTCTCTTGGCTTTCTTTCGACATGTCCAATGTGGAGAGCAAGAAATCGGCTGTGGGCACCTTGTGTACGCCGCTTGGCACTCCAAATGGAGCCGAGCGCCGGCTAAGACTTACTCTGGCAGTTGGCCACCAGAAATTGGCGCGGAGACGTCTGCAGAACGCGGTCTTGCGACAGCACGCGTATCGTCAATGCCTTGACAGATCCAAGTGAAGGCCCTTTGGCGGACAGCATTCCCGGCTTAGCCGCAGTGTGATCTCCACCCGTTTTCAAGCGGATTTGTTTGGGGTAGTTGATTTGGGTGTGTTGTGTGTTGGGGTGTCCCCTTCTGATTGGTTTGAAGGGGGGGTTCCCTAATTTTAAGACAATCCCTGATACCCTTTGTAGAGTGACTATGGTAGTCATATACAAAACGTTCCCTCAGGCTCTTGGTAAGAGCACTAATGCGACCAGGCAGTCTTCCTCTCAAAGACCACTTATTCCAGGGTGACTGCTCCAAATGAGGCTAAACAAGGCCGCACGGAAGTTGGGGTTCTGGTGGGCTTGAGAGGCTTGGGGGGCTTGGAGGGCTTGGAACGCTTGAAAGGCTTGGGGGACTTGGGGGCCTTGGGGGCCTTGGAGGCCTTGGGGGCCTTGGGGGGCTTGGGGGGCTTGGGGGCCTTGGGGGGCTTGGGGGGCTTGGGGGGCTTGGGGGGCTTGGGGGGCTTGGGGGGCTTGGGGGGCTTGGGGGGCTGGGGGGGCTTGGGGGGCTTGGGGGGCTTGGGGGGCTTGGGGGGCTTGGGGGGCTTGGGGCGTGTTGCAGGGTCCCTGAAGCAAGGGATTTGCGCTTTGCTCGCTGGGCGCAAAACAGCCCACAAGCAAGCGGGTAGTCATTCCAAAACCAACCAACAGGTTTTGGGGGGATGGTACAGTACTTGGTTTTCTTTTCGTAGGCACCCTATGTGACACTCGGCTCACTCGGCGTAGGGACCTACATCAAGAGACATTGATTTTGCAGTGTAGGAGGAGGGTTGGTTGCAACAACTGTTTGAACAACCTGACCCAAAAAGCCATCTTCTACAGGAATTGGTGCTTGGTTTGCCACGTTTGACTGGCTGGTTTTCATGGATGAGAAAATGGCTAGGTGATGGCCGTTTTGGCACAGAGAGACCTGCAAATGAGCCAGGTAGGGAGGTTTTTTCTTTCTTTTTTTCTCCAGCTACACGGGGGGTGTGAATCAGAATTTTCCAAGCGCACCAGGGTCGCGCGAAACTTGTTTCAACACCCCAGACCCTGGGCCACTGTGAAGTGAAGCCACAAGGAGGTGGTTTGGGTTCTTAAATCAACCTGTGTAAGCAAAAGGTGCTCACCCAACCCTGGCAGTTTAGGACTTCTGCCCCAGAAAAGGTGGCAAGGGCGTCAGGCGTAAGTAGGCAATGGTCATGCCCAAGCCTGAGGACCACCCTGCTGAACTACATCCTGGAGAGCAACCATGGCAAGAAGATCGCCATCATCGAGAACGAGTTCGGGGAGGCCTCGGTTTTTTTGTTTTTTTTCTCAACGGTCGGAGCGGGAATGGGGTCGGAGACACCTGTGCGGCGTGGGGGAAACGAATCATGCGAAGTATCACGAGCTCATCGATTCGGTGGATACAACGAGCATACCCACCACGGCCCTGGACTCAAGGCTTCCTTTTTCCAGTTGCCGCACTCTTCCATTTTTCCCGTGTTGGGGTAGCCTAAATATGGTCCAGGCTCTGAACATGTTTCTTTGTGTAGCTCGGGGTCCCTTTTGCTGTGGTCTAACTATCCGGGTTGAGGCTCGAAAAGTTGATCCACCCAAGGGCAAACGAGTTGTGAATGGTTTCCCTTGGTTTCTTAACACGCCGAGTTTCTCGGGCGAGAAGCCGATGGCGATGGGCCAAGGTGGGCCCAGAAAAGCAGAAGTGTCCTGGTCAGGGGCAAGTTTCCACCGTGCCAGGGTCCAACGGGAGAAGCCACCCCTGACCATCTGTCGAGGTCAAAGAGCAACTTTTGCGAACTCTTCATACTAAACCGTTATCTTGCGGGTTTTGTGATGACTCCCCTTCCCCTCCCACGGCTGTCGGCCGGCGGCTAGGTGGGTATTGATGATGCCCTGCTGAACACCAAGAGTGCGGTGACAGAGGCCTGTTGCGTTCTTCTCGGTTGAGACCTAATGGTGTGAACCCTCGGAGCAAAAGAGTGGTGCCCTTGTTGCTTTGTGGAGTCTCCTCCAAAAGGATGTTGCATAGGCTGGACCAAATATGCAGGATCGTAAAACACGACTTTATGTGTGCCCCAGATGTGGACCAAGTATTTTCGGTGGCTTGCCTGAAAGCGTTGGGATCGATGATGGTGTGTGTGGGTATTTTCCTGAGAGCACAAAGCATGGAGTTGGTCTGACAGAGAAAGACGGCGCTTTCCACCGTACCCTTTCACTTGTTGATGCCTCACTTTATCCAACTAGAAGTTTCATTGGGCGCGTGTCAAAATAGGCAGACCCCCAAAATTAGTGTTTCCCCCTGCACACTGACTAACTGTTCTCACAGAAACACATACCCACAACTATGTTTTTTTTTTTTTTTTTTTTTTTTTTTTTAAATAGGACCTTGATCCCGTTTCGACCAAGGTGCACTTGTTTGTCCTGTTGGGTGAAACAAGCACGCCAAACGTATTGTTGTAGCATACCAGGGGCTTTTTACTGGGCTATATAGCCCGGAATAGACCAACGTGGAAAGATGGTTTCTGGAACAATTTCACCAGGTCCTGGGGTGCAATACAAAAGCTCTGGGAATCTAAGCATGGCTCTTACTACCAGGGTTACTTTGGGCCTTCAAACGATGACGAAACCTCAACTTTGTAGAGAATCGGTAAGCATCTCCTCTGGTTGTTTGTTCTGTCTGGGGAAAAAAGAAAACATGGGTTGGGGAATCCAAACAAGGGGCAGGGAACGCTTCCGCGGCTTGGACATTTCCAATCCACTTCCTTTGGTTTCCCTTTTCACCTGTCCATTGTTCCACCCTCGTTGCGGGGGACACCTGCACATGATCTGTTTCCTTTTGGTTTCCCTTGAAGCCAAGCCCTCAAAGGGTACCCTGAACAAACATACGGGTTTGCGTCAACTTGGGACCCAAAATTGTGGCTTGCCCTTGGGTGTCCCTTTGAAACCACCCCGAGAAGGGCAAGAACTCACAAGAAAACCATGCGCCCAGTGGACAGGCAGGTTCTCCAAAAGGAAAAACTAGGCAGTCGGCATCCTTCTCTTCCAGCTGCCATTGGAGAGACAAGGTCCCCCAGTAGTGCCCTTTTACCGTGTCTTTTTTGGGGGAGGGTTCCTACTAAAATAGACTACAAAAAAAACGGGTACCCTTATTCTAACCTCTCAAAACTGGAGGACCTAGGAGAGGAATCGGAAAACTTCGGGTCGCAGGAGAACGTCATCGAGATGAACAACGGCTGCATTTGCTGCACGGTGCGCGGGGATCTCATTGCCGGCCTCAAGAAGCTCCACAAGCAGACCACCGGCAAGGCGAAGCATTCTGTCTTGCTTCCATTTGGTTAAGACTATTTTTCCAACTTCCCCTGATGGTTTTAAAGGGAATCTATCACTACTGGAAATATTTATTTATTTTTTTCCAGGGGGCTTAAGGCAATGGAGGTTGGGTTGTAGTGCTTGTTGGTTTGTTTTGGGGGGAGAAGGTGGGGGTTGCCAATTTCAGGATGTTTTGCTTGTTTTGTAGTCGTGTAGTTTGGGTTTTGTGATGTTCTTGAGATTGATTGGCTGTTAATTCATGATCCTTCTGTTTATCTTGGTTGTTGCGGTTGTGTATTCTTGGGGCGGGGCGTCCTCCATGTTTAGGCCGATTTTGCTTGGCACTCCTTCAAATTCAACCATGTTCGAACCTGGGAAAACTACTTTAACTGGGGCCCACACCACAAAATGACAAAGCGTTTATTTCCGCCGGAGGTGGGAAGACTCCTCATGTATGATATATTTGGGTTGCCCTTTGCTCCGGTTATGTCTCATAAGTCATCACAAGTTGCAGTGGTTCAAGCCAACAGAAGCCCCAAAAGTGGCACATATGTTTGGTTTCCGTGTATTGATCGGGCTCGAGTTTCTACCCTTCCGATCGGGTCGGTAGATTCATCGGTCTGTCTCAAAAGTCGGTGGTTTCCCCTCAGTGTCCAACAAAGAAATACCCTCAAACTAGTACCATCAAGAGGTGCCCTTGAGAAATAAACCGCAAGCACCTACCCTGAAAAAACAAGATTCTCAAGACGGTTTTTAAACAAGGACACACTTGTATGGGTGTGCCCCTCAAATTTAAACACCTTGGGCAAGCCGCAGGTGTTTGTCTTGTTTCAAGATACCAATACCATTTCGGGGATTCAATTTTTGAGCCACAGCCATATAAGCATATTTTCCATATGCCAAGGTGCCATGTTGGGGATTCCATTTTTGAGCCACAGCCAAAAGCCGGCTATCCTGACGCGTTCCCCCTCCTCTGTTTCAGGGCAAGCCCTTGGACGGCATCATCATCGAGACCACGGGCTTGGCGGACCCCGCCCCAGTGGCGCAGACCTTCTTCGCCGACGAATTCGCGCCTCGACCGACACGACGGTCGTGCGGGTCTCCGTGCGGGCGGGCGGGCGGCCCCACTTTTTGGTTGGTTGGTTTATTGAAACGGAATCAACAGGACCGGTGCCCCTCTTTTGACACACATACAAGCGAATTTAAGTCGTCACTTTTTGGCCGATGTTACACGACTTTTCTCTTGGGGTCATGTTTGATCGGGAAAGAGGCAGGGGGTTCGATTGATTGCGCATGTTAGGTCGACCAAAAATGCGGGCCAGAGTCAGACATACTGTTTCGTTGGGACCAAAGCTGAAGGAAGAAAGGTCCAGCTGCAATGGCTTGGTTCACTTTGGTTTCGCTGTACCCAGCAGTGAGTCTTCTGCACGAGAGAGGAATCCTCTGGGGTTAGGTCAAAATGATACCATGCAGTTGGACGGTGGTTTGAAGGAAAACGCGAGGGAAGCACACGGGAAGCACAAAGAGCCCCCTCGATTTTTCAGGGGTCCACGTGGATTTCCCAAAGGACGCAACACCCTGTGGGCCAATCTTGATTTCCTTTGTCCGAAAAGATTCGAGTCCCTTTAATTTCCCCCCCTTATTCTGGGAGGCCGGAAACAGCCCTTTTGAGCGACGTTTTTGGCTGGTAGTCCGCTTGTGGAATGCAACCATCCATGAATTGTTCGCTCTTCTATACCCGTACATACCCTCTTTTCTCAACACGCGGGACCGCATTTGGCTGCTGTTTTCCTTGGAAACCAACAGGAGCACCGAACTTCATTTCGGGGTCCCCCATTTTCACACATATATAGGTGTTTGGCTGGTGTTCAATTTGAAGCAACAAGGACACGCCGACACATCCATTTTTGGGGGTCCCCAAATTTCGAGAGAAGCGCCCGCTTTCCCCTCTGTAGGTGAGCGCAAACATGGTGCTGGACGGGATCTTGACGGTGGTGGACGCCAAGCACATCGTGGGCCAACTTCAAGAGGCGCATCGGCTTGGCCCGTCGAATCGAGCGAGTGGGTCGAGTTCATGGGCGTGAAGTTGGCTCTGGGTCAAAAATACCCCAAAATGGAACCCTAAAAGATGGAACCAAGGTCCCCTGGTGCTTAATTTTGACCCATACCCAGTTGATCTGGTTCGGTGAGGGGTCCTGTGACTTCATCAGCCATTCCCCTTCAAAAGGGGGAAGTAGAACACTAACAACGCCCTCAACAGAGAACCCCAAGCAATCAACACTGCCAGAGTGAACTTAGTACTATAGCCTTTTAACCTTTTGCTTTCCCAGCTTTCCGAAACGTGCTCCTTTCAACCAGCAAAGAGTCCTCACCTTTTGCAAGTTGGATCAGTCTGCCCATTCGAAATGCTGTATACTTGCGGATGAGGTTTTACAGTGAGGCCGACATGGGTATGCGTCAAAGTATAAGTGCACTCCAAAAATGGCAACAGCTTTGCTTTTGCTTTCCCTTCTAAACCGGCCTCAAAAGGGACAGCCTCAAAAAGCAGAAGCCCACATGAACCTTAGCTAGGTCCCCCAGTAGTGCCCTTTAGTTACCCTTTCTTGGGGGAGGGTTCCCCTACTAAAATAGACTACAGAAACAAAGTTGGTACCAACTTATTCTACCCTCTCTACTGGAGGACCTAGTTAGCCACGTTGGCCGAGCCGGGCTCGTGAGGAGAAGCCGCAGGGCGCTGTCAACGAGGCTGTGGAACAGGTGCGGGAGCCCGGACAGAGGCTGAGACCTCGAGGTCTGACTCGCGGTTGGGGTCCTCTTTGGTTGGTTTGCTTAAAAGAAATAGAGGGGTTGGTTTAGATGGGGTGTATCCCCATTTACCAGGGTTATCCATCTTTTTTTTCCAAAAGGCCACCTATGCTTACTCGGCTACTTGGGTTGCGTGGCCGCCGGGATTTTTGGTTGACCGGGGGAGGGTTCCACTTTTTGACTGCCCCTGATAGACTTAAACCCAGGGGTTTCTCTTTGGGAGACATCAACCACCCAGGGTTTACGTCTATCTTGGGCTACTCAAAAAGTGAAACCCTGGTGACCCATTTATAACAGCGGGTGGTTTGGAGGGGTACTCAGGTGATCAAGAGACCGGGTAAGAAGGTTGGTAAGAGACAGTCACAACCAGAACTGGGTATGAATTTTCATCAGGGACCCTTTGGTGGACATCATTCAGGTGGGGATATTTGTCCACCAGCCACATTAATATTTATAGCCAAGGATTTCCGCCCTGACATGGTTTTTGGTGGACGCGTTTAGTACCAGGTCTTGATCACCCAGGTACCGTTGGTTGATGGTTTGGAGCGGTGGGTTGGGGATAAGTCGAAACCAAATGGGACGGACCCCCTAGCCTCCAAGACAAGACTCCAGTTGGGGCAAAGGTGACTTACATCAACCTGGTCGTCCTTCAAGCTAGGGTGGGCAGCAACCACTAAGAGTCACTCTTCTTGAAGACCATTTTAGGGGCAGTTCGTACAGAAGCATAGCGTCCGCTGTTTGTGGTGCCTTGCTGAACCCCAAGCATTTCAAGCCAGAAAGAGGGTCCCGATTTTGGGAATTTTTGGGAGGCTCCCCTTACTTGGCGCCCCTCAATTTGACTTCGGATGTTCCGGGAGACTCCGAAAGGAACCCCCGAAAATTGAACGTCCTTCCTAAACAGGGGAACCAGCCCTGATTCGTCCTCCAGATGAATCCGAAGAGAAATGGCTGCGGCTCCAAAAAGCCGGTACATGGAACCCTGGTAAGTGGGAACATGGACCAAAACCTGAGGTTTGCCCCTCCTGTTTAATTTTGAGCCACACCCAAATTACCTCATTTCGCCGCGCGAAGCTCGGGCATTGCGCCGCGAGCTGCGCCGCTGAGATTGCCTTCGCAGATCGCATCCTACTGAATAAGCTGGGGGCCCAAGTGGGTGTGGGTCAAAATTCAACCAGGAATTGGACCGCAGGTTTTGGTCCATGTTGCCACGTACCGGGGTTCCATTTGGAGTACCTATTTTTCACCCACAGCCAAGTGAGGTTTGGTAAATGCGCGGCTTGCCTTCAACCTTGCTGCGCAACGACCAACGCCCTCAAAACAGAGCTCAACAGGAAACCATCATGTAAAGCCTAGAGGCAAGACATGTTGGCCTGGAGAAGCCACTTAATTTTGAGCCATGCAAAACCAGGATGGAAGCCTCATTTTTGCAGTTTCTATTGCGGCCTTGTCTTAAAGCTGACATGTTGTTTTGGGTTTCCGCTTGGTCCATTGGAGGCAATGTCCCGATCGGCGCCTTGGTTCTTCTTTTGGAGGGAGTTCCCTTGCACGTCATCCAGCAGCTGGGAAGCTGTGCGCTCCAAGTTTGGTAAGAGAAGGTGGCCGCCGAATGTTTTGGTTCTTAAAGGGGGGCTCGAAGCTCTGGAAGGTTGCCCCCACTGGGTTTACAACCTCAACCGCCAGCAAACAGTTGCAAGCAAACAGTTTTTGTTCTGTGCTCTTTGAGTAGGAAAGCGTCGAGGATGGTCGAACTTGTGAAAGTTGTCTTCCAGGATGCCATCAATACTTCCATTCGGCGGCCACGCCAGGGTTTCGGAGCCTTTTGCTTTGCCGATGAGTATCGGTTTCCCCTTTTGCTACACCTTGCAAGAACAGCTTCCCCAAAAGCGCTGGGAAACCATGTTAGAGGGAGGCCCTTATGTGCAACGCCAAAAGGCAAGCACTGAAGTACTGACGTGTTCAGGTGGTTTGTTTCAAGGTGTGGTCATGTACCACTGCAAGGAGATGGTAGACATGTCCTTTGCATGTCATAGGGGTTCTCCTTTCATTCCTGTAACGTTTTCTGTTTGACCCCGAGTTGCATTTCTCACCTCACCTCCATGGACTGGTTTTGAGAGGCGCGAGGACATGGTGCCGTTCTTGGGAGAGGAATGGATTGTTTACATCTTGGAAGGTTTAGCCATATTTCCTGTTGGGTTTAAACTTCACCTTTGGGGCAATTTTAAGGTGAGTTTCCCGTTGGTTGGGGGTGATGCTTTGAGGGGAGTTTTAGGAAGCCTTGATTAAAACAAACCCTTCGGCGGCAAAGTAGGCGAGCTTTTCCAGGGAATGTTCAGATGGTTTGTTTCTAGGCATGCAGGTCGTACCCCTTAATTTTAGGCCTCTGCTCGACCCACCTGAAAATGCCCAGGCCTCTCAGCAATGGCCTGCGTGCACCTCCCCCCCCAACGATGTTCCGAAAGCTCGATCCCCAAGTCGATGGGAAAGCAGGGTGTTTTAATTTCACTTGCCAGCAGTTCTTCAATGTGTTCCTCTTGCAGGGCGAAGTTTTTGCGAGATCCGAAACGGACCTGTCAACTTCCATGTAGCCCGCAAGTGGGTTATTTTTCCTTGGGAGGACATCTAGTACGGACTTTGGATCTCCCATTCAAGAACAGTCTCCGCCGGAAGTCTTACTCTTGGACTTCTTGTCCTTGGGCCCAGTTCCACACCCCTTGTTGTTGCCTTTTGATGCCCAGACATCCAGGAATGGCCTTTCGTCCTTGTTCTCTTTTCAAAGCATCTATACGAAGAAAAGGTCTCGGTGTTTGTTCGCTGGGTTCTTTGCCCAAAATGGAATCAACCAAAGACCATGAAGTGGTTCTGATTCCCCAAATTCAACCAGCTCATAGCCCCCCCAAAGAGGCCCCCTTCCCGGGGCCCTTCCGAGTGGGTCATTGGATGCAATTTGGATTCAGATCCGACGGGCAAAGTGAGTTGTAACCGTGGTAAGTGGGTCACAAGTTGCCAGCATGACCTCTAGCCACTACTCGTAATTTGCCCCTTCAGCCACAACCACTAAGTACCCTACGTGGTCTTTTGAACCCCAAAACATCAACCCTATTTGATCCCAACCTGGTTGATCCCTAAAACCTAAACATCCCACCAGGACGGATTTGGTCACAGAGGCGGAGGTGGAAACCGTCCAAAAGGAGATCCGCCGCATCAACAAGACGGCCGCCATCCGCAGGACGCACGAGTTCGTATCATTGGGCCAAAGAGTTGGCCGAAACGGGAAGGTTTTGGATGGGCTGTTGGGAAGCCCCAGCTTCTTGGGAATCCCATGGGTTATGAACTCAATCCCGTGGAGGGGTTTAAAGGGGGACCAAAGGACCAGGAGGAGTCCGTACTTATTTTTGTTGAGAAACATCCATGTCTGTGAGAACCCGGAACCTCCGGTTAGGAGGTTTTACCCCATGCCCGGGCTATCAAGTGGTTCGCACGCCCAATGGCTTGAGTTATAAGACTAGTAGGCTCCAACACCAACGTTTGGACCAAAGTCATCGCTCGAGATCTGCAATGAGCTCAAGCCCATGAAGGTCCTTTCTGAATTCCAAAGAAAGATCCGCTGAGTCTTGCAGAAGGCTAGTGCTTGCAACCCATCCGATCTGTTGGAGCTTCTTTTCCCATCGCCAACGCAAGTTCAAATATAATTCCCAAATGGCATCACTTTACCCATTTTGTCGTAGAGCGTTGCCGCGCGACATTCGCGGCCGTGCCAGCAGTAATACGTTTGGAGCCAGATTTGCCGTCAATGCCAGCTATTTACATGCATTTACAGATTGAAACGTGAAAAGTGCCAGTGTGCCTTTCGCGGCAGCGAATAAAAGTTGATAGGATTTGTACAGCAATTGGCCTAGGGAGCTTTGCGTTTTCGTGGTTGTTTGAAGAAGCAAACGAGTTTCCCATGGGGCACCTGGAAATACAATTCGGGAATCTGCATCAAGTTGCAGCGAGGCTTGCGGCGAGTTCTTTGCTATGCAAGGTGTCGGATTTGTTGGTTTTGTTTTGGGAATGCGGGCCTCAAAGTAAATGCCCACAACAAAATGGCAGAGAGCCAATGGAAGGAACACGGACTCGAGGGAAGGATGCTAGCCTGGAGCCATTTTCTTGTTTGGAACCTGCAGGCCTGCCGGATTTCGTGCGGGGTTCCGTTCCCCCTCTTTTTTTTTCTCTTCTCCGGAATTCGCAGGCAAAACAAAATGTGCAGGCAGATATGGAGGTGGGGCTAGGCGCTTGGACTAGAGGGGGGACGCGGGGCCTGCAAGGTCGGGGCCTGGTTTGTTTCCCCTTAGCTGGTCTGCTAGTACCCCCCGATGAACCCACAGCTAATTTCCAGTCAAAAACTATGCAGGGCGACCAACCATTCAGATACAAGCGGATCGATCACCCAAGTACACGAGCTCGTCATTTTTCGAGGGCAACCTTTCTGGGGGTTGGAATACAAGGGAGGCCACATCACCCAAGTATATGAGTTCGTCTTTTTTTGAGACCACGCTTTTTGGGGGTCGGACAGCAAGGGAGGCCACGAGTCGACCCGAAATTCTTCTCTGAGACGCCGATCAGGACCCAGAACTCTGTGGCGGACATGGACTTTCTATTGGGCATCCAGGCAGGTCCTCTTGGGCATTTTGGATTTTGGGATCCGCTTTTTTTTGGTTTCGAGTTAGATGTGGCTTTGGTTGAAAACCATTTGGGATCCCATTTTGGAAATGGTAGGTGAATTCACCACCAAAATTTTAGCACCTATTTCAGTGGGGATTGGGATGTTCACTGGGGCTACGGGCTTTTGACCCATGGCCATGTGATGGGTTCTTTGCTTCCACACAGTCGTGCTCGTGTTTTTTCTTGACACTAGCAGGCTGCGTGCTGCCGCTAGCAAGTATTCAATCATCACGGACACTTTTGTGTACACAGCCAGGGTGCTGCTATTTAGCCTGATTTGTACTGCTGGCAACCTGGACGCTCGTCGACACCAAGGGAGAACCTTGTCACCATTTGCAGAAGGTCAGGGATCAGGGCGCATCCAATCCATGTTAGCCAATGCTCTTTGTTAGCCAATGTTATCCGCTTTGTGGTACCTCTTGGAACCACGGCTTTTTGGTTCTGATGGGTGGTGTGGATTGGCGGGATGTGAAGTGTTGGGTCTTGCTGAGGGTGAACATGTGAACTCACCCCTGGCCTCGCCAGATCACCAATCCAAGCCACCAATTCAAGGACAGCCGAATATTGGTATTGATGGCATGTGGAACCCCATCAACAAATCCTTTGGACACTTTCTTCAGCAATATGGGGGTGTACGGAAAATCGCAAGTTCGTCATATCAAGCCCCAGCACCCTGAGGGATGGGTTTTCTGTCTCCAGCTGTCCTACAGGGGGGCCCTGCCAGGATCTGTTCGTGGTATGAGTTTAGGGTCCCATATGGAAGTCCTTCTCGATATTGCCCTCAGATCCTGACGGATTTGGAGCCCAAAATTGTCTGGAATTCTCGTACCGTGGATGTACAAAACCCTGCACCAGTTGACATTTGGCGGCAGGAGTCTTTAGGGTGATGCATAGCTTAACAGGAGTTCCGAGGCTCTCAGAAGATGAAGCCAAGGGTAGAACATCGCCAAAGGTGTTTTTTTGGGGTTTCCCTTTTCAAGAACCATTTGTCCACACCGCCAAGGATTTCGGAGCAACCCCGGCAAAAAGGTTCATTAAGTATATGGCCCACAAGCTAGCATATGTTTTTTACTGGGCAACAGCTGACGTAGCCAAGGGCCCTGTGTCACTACTTGAGTGCTTGGAAACCTCGGGCAATACAGCTCTTTTCTGGAGGCATGATGCAAAGGCATGTTCATGTTGACATTTTCAAGGGTTTTGCCATTTTCAATGATGCTTGCTGTTTCGGGAATTGTGGACACCCCTGTGACGATGGGTCAGTCAGTGCACAGGGTTGCTCGGAGCCCATTTTTGAAAGATGACCCAACCCCAATGGTGGGACATATTGCTTTGTTGCTTTTAGCAGGTGAGTTTCAACGCAAGCAGAACCAGCCAGGTCCAAATGTGTTTTATTCGAAACATGGTGAGAAGCAACCCAGAAGGGACCTGGTTTGGACACATGGGCTCTCACTTCAATTTTGACCGACCTTTGGTGTCTATGTATGGTGGGCACACACGCTAAATACCAACTAAGTGTTTGTCTCTCAAAAACAGACGGGTATGGGTTGTGAAGCCATACCAAATACCAGTTCGGCGAAACAACTCCGTCTCGGCATATGTGTAGCATATGGCTTTACGGGGTTCACTTTCAGGTGTGCATGCCAACCGTTTTCGACCTCAATTTCCCTTGCGGCCTGCGTATTGTTTGGGAACTCACAGAAGGATAGGGATTGGAGCAATTGGGCCGGTTGGAGCTAGCCGCGTCCAAGAATTGCTTTGCGCAAAGTGCAGGGTGATTCCTCTTCTGCCGGTCGATCATAACGGCGCCCGGCTGAAAAAAACAAGCGCAATATGTTGGGCCCGGCTGCAGGAGGTTTACGACTTCTGACTGCTCGCGGTCGGGCAAGGCCTCCCAAAGTTCCCCCCGAACGGATCCGCCCTTGAGCTCGGATCAACCGCTCTTTTTTTAATGTCCACCCAGTTGCTCATGTCCAAATTGCCATGAATTTAAGTATAGAACCACCGCAAAAGTGATCGGTGGACATAAATCCCCAACAAAAAATGATGTCCGCCTGAGCCTCGAGCCTCGAGGCCTTCTCCCTGGAGAAGGTGCTCATGCAGATCAGCCAAGGGTCCTTGGAAGAGGAGCGCTCGACCTTGGGCCCGCGGCTTTTTGGGAGTTGGTGCCATTTTAGTGAGGGCTCGAAGGGAGGTCAAAAGGGGGAAAAAACAACAAGTCATCAGCTTTGGGTTCTCCCTCACTTTATGGTGCTCGGATTCATGGATGTGTTGCTGGCAGCTTTTTGATTTGAGTCCTTCCATGTTGTGTCACATTGAGGGCCTAGGTAAGAAGAGGGTTGTGGCGTACTTTAAAGCCACATTAGTCACCAATGTAGGAACCACCCTTTGCTGATCATTTAGCCCCTCAGATTGATGTATGTGTTGCCAGCACGTTTGGATGTTTGGTGTCCGATCTCGCAACATGTTATTTGCCCATGGCTCAGCCTGATGTATCGCCCCCAGTTTGCCTTACCGGGACAGTGCCTAGGGATCCTCTGCGAGCGGAGCCCTCCCCAACCCCCCCTCACCCCGAAATCGCCTCCGAAGCCTCCGGTTCTATCGTCAGTCTCCCAACCTGCTGGCTTTGGGAACGGAGAATGTCTTGGCCCAGCGCAGCCTTGACGCATGCAACATGTTCAGCCAGGTGCACTGGGATGGTGTTCCCAGAGAAACTGCCAAAGGGCCCACACGAAGCCATGGAACATCGGCAGGCTTTCAGAGACTTTCTGTCAAAGGGGCGGAGACACTTCGACCGGACTGTGGTCCCAGGTTGGAACTTGACGGAAGAAATCATGTCAAACGGTGGCCGGACCTGGGTGTGTTCGAGTCTCGCGAGCGAGGGGTTACTCTTGGATCAATCGGAAGAACCCTCGGCAAAAGATCCAGCGCCCGCCATGGCAAAAGGGGATCACCTATGCGTCAGGTCGATTTCCAGGGAGCCTCCGGGCTTGTGACTTCCGAGAGCCCTTAAGACCCGGCAAGGACTTACAGCAAAGGTGTCCTTTGTTGGAGAAATGAACCCTAGGAGTTAAACTCCTTTTGACGATACATATAAATGAAACCCTTGGTTTGAGGCCTTTGCGAGCGAATGCAGAGAAACAACCTGCTAAATGGATCTTGTGGTACCCAGAGGGCGTGTTTTTCGCAAGTCAGGGTACAATCCAGGAAAGTCGTCCATAGCCGTCCATTCTAATTTCCTCCAAAGACACCACAAGAATGGAGACACCTGCCTCCGCCCCATTTTGATTTTGGTCAGTCATGCCTGCATAAAGGGAATGGCATCTACTTTCACTCTGGCGTAATGTTGACCCCGGATTAATAACCCCCCAGTTTATTCATGTGTTCCTTCCAAAAGTGATAAATCCCCACTAAAAACCAGGGACACCCCCCATATCAATAAGGAAACCAGCAGCTTTCCGGGTTTAAAAAGCCCCGTGTGACCCACGGGAAAGTCCCGGGCACCGATCCAAAGCTCTCCCTGCCAGGAGGAGCATCATGGCTGCTCGGAATGGGTCTCTCAGTTTCCGGGAGGTTAAGTTGGTTTCCCTTGAATGGGTCAAAATGGGGGCACCGCCAGAAAGGTCGTTTTTTTGTTCATTCCAAACCGTGCAAAAAGGGTAGTAGGTTTTGGGGGAACCGCCAAAGAGGTCGTTTTTTTCTCCCTTTTTTCCATCTTTTTTTCTCATCTAAAACCATGCAACAAGGGTAGCAGGTTTTTCCTTGGAGTGTTCATCTAAAACCATCCAAAACGGGTACCATCAAAACACGACAGGCCCAAAGATGTTGAATGGGCAATTTGCGGTGAGCTCGCCGATTCTTGGGGTACACGAGCTCACTCATCTGTTTTCAGTTGGTGGCCTAAGACTTTTGTGCTTTCACTTAAAAGGACTCAGCAAAAGGGACACGTCCTTTGACGCTGTTTGATTTTTTTGTTCTCAATTTCAGGCTTCAAGACCTGGATTTGCAGGAAGATTGGGGGTTCCTTTTCATTTTCGTTGGTCTAAAAACAATTCGGATATCCGTTTGCTTTCCCTTTTGAAAACATCCGAGATGAAAACAACCGAGAGGGAAACACTTCCACTTCTGCAGAGACACCAATTTCGATCCCTGCCCCGGCTTTTTTCTATTGGCTCATGTTTTACAAGCATGCCGAGGATGCACAACCTCACTCCATTGCTTGGATCAATTACAGCTTTGGTCCTGCTCTTGTGGGAGGTTTGCAAAGAACCTCCCTTCCCAATTGTGTGGACTCAATACTATTTCTGAAGAATTTGATCGGTCAGTTTGGGGTTTTACATCCGTTGCATCCGCAGTGTGGCTGTTCAAGCGTGAAAATGTGCGAGCAGCGCACTTGGACGGTTTGTTGTTTCCTTTTGGGCCCCAAACCGGTAACCCTTGAATCTATAGGTTATCAGCCGTAGGCCCCTAGCTCTAAGCAATGGACGGTTCCCTTGTGCCAGTTGATGGATCCAGCATGCCTGTGGATGCTGCCGGAGCTAGCTCCGGCAACGCCACCGGCGGCGGTGTGCGAATGTTCGCATCAAGCGCTAATGCGCAATACAACCGCACCCTGATGAATTCCCTTCAACTGTACAATACCGCAATCTTTGCTTTTGGGAATGATGCAGCCATTAGGTCTGAAGCCGAAGCCCTGCATCAAGCAGCTGTAACGCATTTGCAAGCGGAAAACCGTGAGGAGCTCCGTGCCGCACAGAATCAGCTGCATGCACACTACGCTGAATGTGTGCAAGCCCAGTCGCATAGGATTCGTGAATACGAACAGCGAGTGAGCGATGAGTTCATGCAAGAAGTGAACTTCGCTGAAGCTAGGATAAGCCAAGTGTGTGAGGAAAATGCCCAAGCATTGCATGAAGCGGAAATGGGACGCAAAACAACTGAGTTTAGGCAAGCCATCGAATCCACCCTGGCTGAAGCCCAGCAGCTCCTCCATGAGCAAGCTGCCAAGCATGCCGATGACACAGCCCGTGTCGAGGCTACACACGCCAGAACGGTTGACATGATGGCACACCAAAACGGGCTTCTGCAGGACGAGCTTGATGAGCTGAAGAAGTATCAGAAGCAACACGACCTCCGCGAGGATGGATCGAAGCCCAAAGGGGTAGGTGATACCCGAGAGGATTCACCAGAGTTGATGACCGACGACATGAAGTCAGCTCGGTCCCAAAGGTCAATGTTGGACCCGTTGACCCATCCGTTTCAATATGCAAAGGAAAAGTTGAGGTCGCTTGTTACCTATGACGGTTACGGGGATGAATATACCCCTAGCGTGATTCCAACTGCCGAATGCGAAGCACTGCCCGCAGATGCTCGCGATCCGCAAGGACCAGCTGAAAAGCCATCAGGTAGCAGCCGATCCCCGGTGAAAACAAGTGCACCGGTCCCACCCCTGCAATTCTCTCAGGGGCCAATGTCAACTGACCGCAAGCAGGGTGGTAAGCCTCCCGGCGGTCCGCCACCTGATGATGATGGCGATGGCGATGGTGATGAAGACGAAGGTGATGGCCTCGGGCCTAACCTCGGCCAAGAAGCATTCGCCAAAATGTTGATGAAGTTAGTAAAAGGCCACACGAACGATGAAAAGCCCAGAACCCGCGAAAGCGAGACGTTGCGATTCAAGGAGATGCCAACTCCTGAAACGTACCGTGAATGGAAGACATCGGTTCGTGAGGATGTCCGCGCTGCATCTGACCGTCCAGACGAGGCTTGGCCTTGGATCATGGAAGTCTGGTCCGATCGCGAGGACAAGAAGAAGCTGTTGGAGGAGCTCGGCGAACCGGGAAAATTCGTGACCCTAGACACGAAGATTCTCGCAGCGCTCACGCGTTCAGCGAAAGGCGATCTGGCTCAGCGAATCCTAACAGCAAAGGAAGAATGTGCCAAGGAGGGAAAGGCCATGAGAGGAAGGCAGGTCTTGTTTATGTTTGACCAATATTTCAAGACCAGTGAAGAAGCCGGAAACCTCTACTCCTTGGAGGACCTGTTGCGTGTCTCGCGACACGGCGAAGGAATCATCGATCTCAAGCGTTTCCTGAATGCTTGGGATTCCGTGATCGCCGGCATGAAAAAGCCGCCGGAAGAAAAGGTGTTGAAAGACATCTTGCTTCGCCAAGTGAGAAGCTGCCATCTGTTGCGGTACGACATCGACACATATGATCGTTGCCGTGATGATGATCCCAATAAATCGTACGATTTCCTAATGCGTTGCATGAGGGATCTAATCGAGAGGGATAGGCTTCGCGAGAACCGAGAGCGCGTGTCCAAGGTCAATGCCAGTAAAGCCCCGACGCCCAAGGCTGGTGCTGCCGCCCCTGAAAAGAGGGACCCCAAGAAAAAGAGCGCACCTAAGCCGAAGGACACCGAGGAGAAGTACTGTTTTGACTTCCAGAAGGGCTCGTGCACGAGGGGGGCAAACTGCCCTTACGCGCACCGCAAGGAGCCGCGAGGACGCTCCGCGACCCGTGGCAGGCCAAGTTCCCCCAAAGGCGGTAAAGGAGAGAAAGCACCGTGTTCTTTCTTTGCCCAAGGGAAGTGCACTAGAGGTGACAAATGCAAGTTTAGCCATGCCTCCACGGGCGGCAAATCTGCCGCCGCGGCATCGAGCAGCGAGGCCAATGCAAATCCTGCGGCTAAGAAGCGTGCAAATTCACCTAAGCCTAAGCCCAAGGCCAAAGCCGCTGCAGTCTGCACCAGGTACGCCATGTTCGCAAAGCCGATCAACCCAATTGGAGTGTCATTCGACACCAATGCTCATGTTCATGAAATCCCCGCCGAAGGCGATGGTTTCAAGCTTGAGTATGAGGAACGTCAGTACAATAGGATGTTTCCAAGTGCCAAGGACTGCCCCAGGCCGACCAAAGGGACTAACAAGGCAGCGCGCAAGGCCGCGAATCAGTTGAATGCCGTAGTCAAAGCCATGGAGAATGGAGCCCAGCCCGCTTGCGGTTTCATGTGCGATGTGGAATCCGATTCCATCTCAAGCCTATCGTGTGATGAGTGCCTGAGAGTTGTCATGCCGCCTCACGATGTTCGCAAGGATGTCGAAGCGCCAAGGGCAGCCACCCCTGCCCCAAAGGGAAAGGACGTGTGGCTCATTGATTCCGGTAGTGAGCAGGACCTCATCAGCAAGGCTGCACTGAGGAATGCGTCCAAGGCAATCCGAAAACAGGCCCCGCAGCCTATTCGCCTTGTGACTGCAAACGGAAACATCACTGCTTCCGAGATCGCCGACATCAATGTCGATGCATTGTGCGAGCCTGCTCAGCCTTACATCCTCGAGAGTTCTCCCGCAGTGCTGTCGCTGGGTGTGAAGTGTCTGGATCAAGGATATTCCTTTCATTGGGAATCCGGGAAGGCACCAACCATGGTTCGCCCTGACGGTGCTCTGATCCAGCTCAAGGTTGACGGTCATGTGCCATACATGGACTCTAGTTGTGAAGCTGAGCCATCGTTGAGTGCAGTAGCAGCATCAAAGCCAGCGCCTGCGCCAGTTCATGACGAAGGCATCGACGAAGGTGATGATCCCGACGACGAAGTTGAGCGGTTTGTGAGATCCCGCAAAGAGCAAGATCTGGTTGCCGAAGCAGGTACCAAAGAGCACTTGTTTGCACACTATCCGAAGAATCCCTTTTGCCGCACTTGCCAACGTGCCAAGATGCTTGCCCCATATGCAAGATCGAAAGGCGGGCAGGGAAGGCTCGAGACGAAAGCGTTTGGAGATCACATCATTGCTGATCATGTGATTCTCAAGGCCAACATCGAGCAAGGCATCAAAGGTGAATGGTGTGCTCTTGTGATCAAGGACGTGCATACGCAGTTCAGGTACGTTTACCCGTCGACCAGCAAAAGCACGGAGCAATCCGTTGCAGGGATCCAGCATTTCATTTCCGGTAGGGATGAGGTTGAGGTTCTCTACACTGATAACTCCCGGGAATTGAAAGCCGCAATAGAGCAGTTGGGGTACCGTCATCAGACCTCCATTGAATATGTTGATTCTTCCAAATCTTTCGTGGAAAGGGAAATCAGACATCTGTTGGAGGGAGCACGTGCGAACCTTGTTCAGTCAGGGTTCCCACTGTCGATGTGGCCATTTGCCATCCAGCACAATGCAGTTGCGACCAACATCCTGCCACAGTTGAATGGAAATGATTCGCCATGGTACCTCAGGTTTAACAAGACCTTTGATGAAGCTGAGATACCTTTCGGAGCAAAGATACTGTTCTGGAACAACCCTGCACGAGCTGACAATCAGGCAGGCAAGACTTCGCCAACATCGAATGAAGGCGTGTTTCTCGGGTACCATATTCAGCCTGGGTTCGCATGGAAGGGTGAGTTCCTCGTTGCAAAACTAGAAGGGCTCGATTACCATATCGAACATGCGTCCCTCACGGTACAGCGAACTAAGCGCATTGAGCTTCCGACCGATGAGTTCATCTTCCCGATGAGGTTGTTGAAAGACCCTGCATCTCATCCACCTGTTG